GGGGGGGGGAGGGAAGGCTCCCTGTTGCTTCTCTAAGTGCAGTGAAGTAGGAAATTACTGAGGCAGCTCTAGGTGGCTGGTGCTCTGCCCACTCTCCTATGACCAACCAGCTGCACATTTCTCAAACGTTTCTAACGCCAGAACCACACTCCGGCTCTGTGSTGTGCTGCAGTGCGATGGGGAACTGACCTCTGCCTCAGCACTACCACAGGCCGGGCAGGCAGGGGGCTGGGTTTGGGCTCAGAGCAGAGCACCCCGGGAAGCGAGATTCCCACGAAAGCGCAGGGGAGATCAAGTAATGTCTTTTTTYTATACGGCTGGAGGCGCAGCATTTTGGGCCGTGCTGCAGCAGCCCTAACCGCGTTTGGGAGCGCGGCCAGCCCCCACCCCGGGCGGTGGAAGGTGGAGGAGGCCAAGATGTCCGTTCAGCCCCGCAGCGGCCGCCCAGAACGGACGGGCTCCCGCACCCGGTACCGGCGGTGGTGCCCGCTCGGTCACATGGAGGCGCCATTTCCTCTGCCCTTGCTTTGCCCTTAAGGCCGCCGCCGTGCCGCCGGCGCCTCGCCCCCCACGGGGCGGTTGCGGGCGGGCGACGCATCCCCGTGTGGCCCTCACCGCACACTGCCGGCCGGAGAGGCGGGGGTGGCTGCGGCGGGGAAAGGAGCAGGGGCCGGCCAGCCGCTCGGCTAAAAACAGCCCTCGCCTAATAAAGCGATGGGGCCGAGTGCCCGCGCCCTATAAATACGCTCGGTGCACGGCCCGCRGGCTTTGGCCGGCGTGGCTCGGCTCGGCTCTGCAGGCGGCACGGTGCAGCCAGCGCAGCGGGGCCGCCACTGCCGCCGCCTCTGCCGCCAGGACAGCCCCAGCCCCCGCAGCCTGACACCCCAGCAAGATGCCCCGGGTAGACGCAGACCTCAAACTGGACTTTAAAGATGTCCTGGTCAAACCTAAAAGGAGCAGCCTCAAAAGCAGATCAGAGGTGGGGGCATCCAAACCCAGCATGCTTCCTCCCCTTCCCCCCTTCTCAAGGCTTAACTTAACCTCCCTTCYCTCCCTGCTTTATTTTCATTTCCCGGTCTAGCCCCGATCGAGACGCCCTTTGCGTGGCGGGGGGATGCCGCTGCTCCCGGAAGCGGGGGATGGGGCCGGAGGTSCGGATCCCGCGGCGTGTCCCCTCGYGGCCCCGSCGGAGCGGGGAGCGCCGGGCGCCGCAAGCCGGTGCCGCGCTGGCCTCCCCCGCTCCGCAGGCTAAAATATAAGGGGGGGCAGTGGGAGATTGCTTGCTGCTAACAGGTGCCTCTGCGGCGCTGAGCGGGGGCTGACCTCCGGTTTCGGAGGGGGAGGCGGCGGTGATCCGGCAGCGCTGCAGGACAGGGGCGTCCGCTTACCAGCCCCGCAGCTTGGGCCGGCAAAAGCCGGTGATGCTATCCGATAGGCAGCATTGCCCTCAGCCTCGGGGGCTGTGGGCGGTGCTGGTACCGATGTGCTCTTTTAAAAAAAAWAATTGCAGTGAAAACCCGCGGAGACGTTGGGGAGCGCTTCCCAGTGCGGCGGGTTCCGCGGGCTAGGACCCCATCGTGGGGGGTACTAAGGGAAATCACATCAAAGCTGGGGCCATGGTGCGTTTCACCCTCGCTTGGGTTTAATCTCCGTGTGACCTGGAGTCCCCCTGGAGCTCTGTGACACTACTGGCCTAGGGCTACTGTCAGCCGGAACAGTGCTGTAGTCCTCTTTCATCAGGGATCGGGGTAGACCCCAGGAAATCAATCCCATGGGGATCAATTGCCTTCACAAAGAAAAGATGGCTGCCTCCGGATCGAAGGTGCCTTCTCGTTTACCCCATATAACCCCAAGGTTAACAAAGGATTTAGTTTGACTAAAGAAGGCATTACGTTGTGTTGGGGTATGAAAAGAAGATTAAGGTTTTCTCCAGGGGACACGAAATTGTAAGAGAGAGAGAGTGAAGCAGAAAGGGTAAGGRAAGCAGGGAGGCTGTGTTTACTACGAGGATAAGGGGATTTTGAGGGCAACAGCTGAGCAAAACTTCCTTGCCGTCATGAGGTATATGATGTCAGAGAGACACTCACAGTAGGAGGTTGATCTCTGGCAAGTAATTTTTAATTTACAATGTACAGTGTCCTGGCCAAATAGCTCTTCATCCTGTGCAATTACTGCATATGAAGCCTGTGGGCATTTTCGAGGTATTTGCATGGGGACCTATGGGTCCCTCCTTAAAATTCACGGTGCTGGCCTGGCAAACAGGTGGAGCTGTGCTCCACCGAGTGAGTGGCACATGGTTCCTGCAAGTGCAGTGTTTTGTATATTTAGCTGCGTGCAGGCTGTGGAAAGAAGGGCTGCTGGGAAGGGAAAMCGATAGGAGGAACATGAGCTGATATGGCAGGGTTGTAACGGGTGGCTATAATGAACTGTTAAAACATTGCAGATGAGAAAAACTGCATGTCATGATGGGGTCAGTGAAAAACGATGAAGGTTAAGAAATTGGACACCATCACTGAGGCTGTGGCAACAGGGATAAACAGAGTCTGTGTGAGCCAGATCTGAAATGGACAGCCCCAGTCTGCTTCAAAACAAGAATATAAATAAATAGTTCTGGCAGGGGAACAGAGGCAGCATACTACAGTGCCTGTTACCCAGCAAGCTGCTGCTTTGAAGCTTATATCAGCAAGCATCTGCTTCTCTGGTGTGAAAGCCTCATTTTGCRCAAGGATAGGTTTTTATGCAGTGACTAGAGTTAAGTCAGCTTCCTAGAGGGATAGTTTGGGATGTTTGCAGATCTTCTTCTAGGTTTGCTATGTTGGTACTTGTTTCTGATTCATTGCACTGTGTTCATATTCCATGGTTGCTTTCTGCTTTTGGAAAGATACAAGAAAATGTGATGCCTGAATTCAAATGTCAAAATTGGTTAGAGCAAAGACGGGAGTGGGAGTAGCATTATCTGTCTGTGGGGTGTTGGTACTCATAATCACCAGTTCTTGCCTTGGCTGTGCTTACTCATGCACTCTGTCCGTTACAAGTTCACCAGGCAAGTGTCTGGTCATCATTAATTTAAGTTTTGTAAATGCAAGTAAGTAAGTCCACAAGAACAGCACAATTTGCTAAAATAGGTGGAGAGAATGGCAGCAAGCATGATCAGTAATGTTGACTGATTTCCATATGAGGAAAAACCCGAATGTACCAAGATAATTCAGTATGAAGGAGCAGCAGCTGTGGATGATATGCTGAAATTTAGTCCATTAAGTGAGGAGTGGAATAGAATGGGTGAAATGGTGCAGTGGTTGTTGATTGTTTCTCATKAAACCAGAAACATTGAATGTACCAGGCAAAGGTCATAGTTTTTATGCAACATATAATTTATCTTATTGCTGTGGGATATTAGAGAAGCTAAAGGTGTGAAGGACTAAAAAAATACAAGATAAGTTCTTGCCTTGTCTTGGGAGTGCCTATGGCAGTGTTTTGATGTCTCTTCTCATAACTCTTCTTTTTGAAGTTCCTTTGAAAGAGAAAGAGATGTTTTTCCTTTGTGAAACGGTAAGGCAGTGGTTCTGGTGCTGGTATCTGTGGGAATTGGTTGTGGGATACACTTTCCCTCCTCCCCCCACTCCCTTGGTTCTTGTTAAACATTGTATTAAAAGAGGTAAAATAAATTAAATTTTCATACCCATCTTCATATTGTTTTCTAATTTTTAGCTGCAGCTAAAATTCCTGTAAGAATGGTTTGTCATCCATGATAGCTGGAGAATTGGACTTCTGATAATGATTGGGAAGAAGGGGCAGTTTCCATTAAGATAGATCTTTGCTTGTTCACTAAAGTGACCCTTCAGTTATGAACTTATACAAGATAAGAACCTGATTCACAATTTATCACTGAGASACCAAGTTCTTTCTCTTACACAAATAAGTAATAAAACCCTCACTGTAGTAATCAGAATCTAGCCTGCAATTTGCCAGTGCTCAAAATGTGTTTTGGATAAATAATAAAAAATCCTATATTTTTTCTATTGCTTTCTTTCTGGTGATGGATTTCAGTTTAGTTAGGTCTCCAAATGTTACTGGGTTAAAGTTGCAGTGAGGATTAATGAAAACTGAAAGAGCCTTCATTTTCRCTAGAGACTAAACTAATATCTTACAGTTGTGTATTTGTTTATTTTTTTCCCTTTTGAGCTTTTGTCTCCTAGGTAGGAAGATCCTAGGTAGGCCAGTGGGAACTGATCTAATTTGATAATACCTCTTGCAGATGTAAGGAAAAAAATGCCTGATGGTACCGTGATCATTTGAAGGTGCTGAAGAAGAAATTACTTTGAAGGTGAAGGCGGATACAATTTTAAGACATTAACTTAGAAACTAGCAGCTTCTTGGTTTAGCAAGCCAAGGTACGATTGTTCATGTTGTATGCCAAGAGTGCTGGTAACCATGACCAAAAGAACGTACTTTGTTATATTGTCATTTACCTTAAAGACTGGGACAAAGTCCTCTATACCTGGAGACCGAGGGTGTTGTGATTCTGAGTTCTGTGGAGTTAGGATTTCGACTTGAGTTTYCCAGGCAGCCATACAAACAGCTGAGGTTACTTCTGTATACAATAGCAAGAGTCCTCCTTGTCCTCTTTCCAAGCTGCTCTGCCTTGTTCCTTCTTGTTTTTTCTAAATTTTATTTTGATTCTTTTTCTTAAGCAAGAGCTCTATTTCATGCAGAAAACGTTCTTTTACTTTGTTTCTTATTTGAAAGGCAGAAATTGTAAGAAAAGTAAATTAAGTGATATAATAGTGGAACAAAAGGATCAGGAAATGTAGGGAAAATCAAGATACTGTGTCTAAACGTGCTGTATCTGAAATCTGTGGCAAAACTTGTGTTAGATTACAATCAGTTCCTTAAAAGAATGCATGTCTGTTCATTGCAGGTCGACCTCACACGCACCTTCACCTTCCGTAACTCCAAGCAGACATACACAGGAATTCCCATTATAGTGGCAAACATGGACACTGTGGGGACATTTGAAATGGCTGTGGTTATGGCAAAAGTAAGTCTCAACCCTCATTTCCTCAACAGTTGGGAAGCTGCTGAGTGACAGTGAGCACCTTTTTTAAGTTTTAGTTAAGTTTGTTGGAGAACAGGGGAACATGAGTTTAAAAACTCCAGAATAAGAAAAAGCAGGTGTGCTTTTATAACAGTTACCACTAACAGGGCTCCTGATATAAGTTTCAGTAGAGATACTTCCATAGTGGAAAGCTTCCATCTTGGACGTAGCTCAGTTTCAGGTGGAGCTTCCAGAGCTTAGTTTTTGCGGTTTGTTTGTGCTCCCGGCCAGAATAAAAATATTAGCTGACAAGTTTTGAAAGTGTAGGTTATTGGATAAAGCTTCAGGAGTTTCTAAGTTAATGAGCCTCTGTCACATTCAAAAATACAGTAGCTTAATGAACCRTATCATAAAGCTGGTCCTGAAAGTTGGCTAAGTATGCCAAGTTACCTTTGAAGAGCTGTTTAGAGTTGCCTGGTTTGTTATTCACTGTTACTGTTTCTGTCAAGCAGGTTGCGCCTATGCTTAAAAGGGGATTTTCTGATGCTTTATTTTGCACCTGAGGGAAAAATTACTAGCTTGGACATTAATATCAGTTCTCTTGGGTTTTTTTGCTAGCATGCAATGTTCACTGCAATTCACAAGCATTATTCTCTGGAAGAATGGAAACTGTTTGCTGCCAATCACCCAGAATGCCTTGAGGTACATTTTTGTACTGTAAATTATTATGGTTTATTGCTTTGTTCTGAATTCACATACAGTGGAGTCTCTTGGGAATACTTGTTGTCAAGTGAGGTTTTGGGGAATGAAGATATTTGCTATTCTTAAATTCATCAAGGGAAGTGGCTTGTTCTGATTTAAAAGAATAGCTATGTGAGTCCATTATGAAAGTGCTTWTATTAAGATGCAAAAACCCTAAGCTTATATATGCCTGGAATGGAAATAGAGAAGTATCCTGAACAAAGAAGGAGGAAGTACTTGGGAGTAGGTGTAAGTCCCGTGCCTCTGCTGCTTTTGGGAGCTGTGGTAGTGCACAAGTGTGAATAATTTCAAATAATTCAATCACAGGCTGGCTCTGCACACCCTTGTGCTGGGCAGAGTCTTTGCCATCAGGTGTGCAAGTGGATCTGGTGTCTGCAGGCTGGAGKGGCCCAGGCAGGGATGAGCACTGAAAGCTGTCAGAGCTTATGTCTACCACATACCTCCTTGCACTTGAGCTTGCTTTGTGCTATTCCTGGCTGTGGTACCCMACTTGTTCACAGGGTCCTCACCTGAGCCATTACTTGTAGTACATTTAAACATTTACTTAAGTTCTGACTTTTTCACAATCAGATTCTTCTTTTCTTCTGGCAGGCCCCTGTACCAGGAGAGGCACTGTAAGAATGTGCCTGGCTGTCTCCCGTTCTCCTTAGAGTTCAGTGCAGTTTTTAATCTTTTGATATACACAGAAGACAATACCACACAGCTGTATTGTATCTTTACCTGTGGCACATTTTAGAATTATATTATAAAGGCTATTGATTACAGGGTTGTCTGAAAGTGAGCCTAGCACTTAGTTCAGTGAGGATTACTTGTATGCCGCCATAAGATAGAAAGTGGTTCCAGGAATGTCCTGTGTCTGAATACTTTCAAACATAACTTATTTGTGGTACATAATGATTGGAATTGGATCTCCTAGTGATTAAATACTGACTTGCACTGTGACCTTGGATTTCTGCAGAGGTTTTGTGGGCCAACAGCTATGGAAAGTATTTTTCTTTCGGAAATAACTCATTGGAAGACAAAGGAAGGAGGAATGCTTGTTTTCAGTAGTAGCTGACCCTGTTTGAGAAAGGGGGTTGGACTACAAAATCTCCAGAGGACCCTTCCAAACAATATTATTCTGTAGATCACAGGACTGCCTGGTGAACTTAAAGACTCAGATTTTACTTGACAATGCCCCAAATTTTGCCACTCTAATTTCCTGGAAATTCATCTGTGTTTGTCTTAAAATGAGTATGGTTGAACCTTGATTGATCTCAGGTGATTATATTTGCCTATGACAATCCACTTGTGAATGAATGCTAAAATGCTAATTTCCCTCTATTTTGTATCATTTAAACAAGACCGAAATAGCACACTGGTTTTCCCAGGAAGGTATTTATTTCATATTACGTAGTGTGATTTTTCACTAGTTACCAGCACAAGTCTTGCCAAGACTATGCAGAAAAAGACATACAAACTGTGTGTGTTTATCTCAGTTTTTGCAACCTACTACTCTGTTTTGTTCTGTCTTTTTAGCATGTAGCAGCAAGCTCAGGTAGCGGACAAGATGATTTGAACAGGTTGAAAAGTATTCTAGAGGCCATTCCACCTATCAGATTCATCTGCCTGGACGTGGCAAATGGCTATTCAGAGTATTTTGTGGAGTTTGTGAAGTCTGTCCGTGCCCTGTTCCCCCATCACACCATTATGGTAAGTGTGTAGAAAAAGTGGAGGATGTGTGTGTGTGTGTGTGTGTGTGTGTGTGTGTGTGTGTGTTTGTGTGAATTCTGTCCAGGAACAGGACCCAGAGTTTGAATGGTAGGCATCAGAAGCTAGAAAAGGAAAGGAAGCAAGGAAGGATGTTTAATAATATTTTGCACTGTCTGTCTTCCATTGCTGATGATTTCTGTGAGAATGTTTAGTGTGTACTCTGATAGAGCTCTTTGATTCAAATTGGTGTGGAGGGCTGCGTGGATCCAGTTCTTTTCCTACTCATGTCCTGCTTCCAACACTAGATGAGACTTCTAATGGTTAAGTGTATGGTTTATTTTGGTGATTCCAAGCAGAGATTTGCTGTGGGGATGTGCCAGCATTTCTGGCCAGTTGAGGCCAATGAGTTTTAGATCACCATGAAGACAGCTCAATGCAGACTGATCCTTGCTCATTGTAAGAATGAGAGGGGTGTTGTGCAGTTGTGAACAACATTGTCAGGAAGCAAAATGGTCAGTTCTGGTGCTTTTCATGTGCTTTCTGTGACATTACTGTCCCATCGGAGTGCGAATTCCATGCTTCCTTCCCTTTTGCACTAAGARTAGTGTGTTTGCATGGACATGGAGCTCCTTGCAGCAGGGTGCTACAGCTGCTTTCCCAGGGCTCTTGGAGAAACGTGTCTGAACTGTTTCCATGAGATTAACAGAAATCTTTAAACAAGCAGCAGATCTATAATGAGGCTACCAGCCTTTCTTCAAGCCAGTGCAGCAGAAAATCATGCGTTTAGGCAACACTTGCTTACTTTCCATGCCAGGGACAAAGCTTCGTGCATGTAAGGTAAATGTGAAGTAAAAATGGTCATAAATGCACATTCTGCCTTGGTTTGGTAGAGAATGATGTGTTCAAGCAACTCAGGAGAGGTTGCTTTCCTTTCTCAACTTCCAGAGGAAGGCAGTGTTCTTGATTCTGAATGATGGAAAATGGAAGGGGTCTGGAATGTTTGTTGGATTCTTGGTTACCATAGGCTAATGAATAGGCATCCTACCAGAAGACRTTGGAACCGTTTTGATATGGTCAGACTTCCCATGGCTCTGGAGAGAAATTTTCGAACCATGAAATGGTAAATGTGTCCTTTTTGAACCTTCTGCTTCGTGTTCACTGCAGTGAGGGAAGAAACTATTTCTTTGCTTTGGATCTGAAGTCCCTAGTGACATGATTACTCTGGTGTCTTTGACTTTGAAGAGTTGTGGGAGGGAACTTAAATCACATAGTTAAAGCCAAAGATCTTCTATCAGGAGGGGAAAGAAAATTGTGTCAAGCCCTCCTCCACCTCCCCAGAGACTGCTGACTTTGTTGACTGAGGAGGGAACACAACCAAGATGAACTGCCCAGAAGGCAGAGAAGGTCAATGTTGAAGTCAGGTATCAAGCTGAGATTTTTGTCCAGGGTTCTTAGGCTGGTCCAATCCATCTTGGATGTCTGCTCAGCTGCCTTTCTAGTCCTGTGCTTTTGTGACTAAGGTTATTTTTACATCAGGTCTCATTGTCCTGACAGCACCACCTGCTTGAATGTGTTTACAGCCCCAAACTGTTCAGTTGCCTTCTCTGATTGTAGCTTCTTTCTCTTAACATGCATTAATATGGCTTATGTTTTTCATCTCTGCACAGCAATAATTTTCATTCCTAAAAGCATGCTAATTAACTTGGAATGTTCAAAAACCTGCAGTTTTCCAAATCCTCCAGTCTTTTCAGTCCCTGAAGGTCTCTGATTCAACTAGAGACACCCACCTCTACCCTGCTTCCAAATGAGTTCACAGTCTGTGCCAAAATGACCTTTTGAAGCTGTTCCTGGCTGAAATGCAGGAGCTGGTCTAGGCTCCTTTTAATGGTGATCTGGAAGATGTCCTGCTGGTTACCTGTTCTGACTGCTTTGATTTGTCTGTAGTGTGCCTGCAGTATGTGCTCTGCTGTTGTGGCTTTCAGACAAAAGGGTTAGCAGTTAAATGGGAGGTACAAAAAAAAAGCAGCTTTCTCATAGCTGAATGTGATCTCCAGGACCTTGCAGGCTGTCTTGTTTGCTTTCCGCAGCATGACTATTCATTCCACAGTCAGCTGCAGTGCAATACATAACAGTAACCCAACCCTGGATCTCAGGGAATGTGTGTTCCCCAGGGGCCACATAATGGGTTCAGCTCAGAGGTTGAGGGGATGTACAGAGCAACTGTGGTTGACATAGTACTCTCTGTGGCCAATACTCCCATGCAGATGGAGGATGTCTCTTGAGCAATAACCTTTCAAATGCATGTTATCGTCTTTTTTAATACTTGCTTTTATACTCACATTATTTACTTCTGCCTGGCTCTGGCACAAGGTTTTTTCACTTCTGCATTTTGTATTAACCTACAAGGAATATCAGTTTCTCCATGGAGCATGAAAGGTAGGGAAGACAAATAGGCACAAAGATACAATGTGGCTTGTCTTAAATCAGTCATCCGATTGGAAATGGGGGAATAAGGAGTATTTAAGTCTTCTGACTGTCTCTCAGGTGCCTCCCAGGATCAGGAAGATCCTGAGGAGGATCAACCCTTGGGGTGTTTCGCTGTTGCACAGTGTCATGTGCATCAGTTATACTTTATTACTCAAGTCTAAAGAAAACCTTTATTCCATCACACTGAAAGTTTGTTTACAGGCTAAATTATCTTTGCCAGCAAAGTTTGCCAAGTTTTTATCCTGAATTTTTCTTTTCATGGTATTCCTCTGTTCATTATACAGGAGCAACTCTGAGGGGAACAGGGAGTGTGGCAGGAAGCAGAAGACTGAGGCAGGAGCGCACTTGGAGATACAGTAGCACCCACAAGATGTGGGCCAGAGAAGGAGACAAGAAGAACTGCAAAGCAGAAGCAGAGGGAAACAGCAAGAGCCAGAAACTTGCTCCTGCTTGGACTCAGTAGCTGAATTTTCCCAGGCAGTAGTTGGAGACAGGATTCAGTCAGAGAAAGCCATGCAGGCTGCTCCCAGTTCATCCCTGGAACATTACACACCAGTGTAAATGCAGTCATGGCAATGTCCGCCAGGGCTGAGGTCTCAGAGCAGAGGCCAGGCAGGATCCCAGGATAGGAGACAGTGATGCTGCCAAGCCTGTCTCAGGTCAGACACAGCACTGAGTGCAAGTGCAAACAGCCTGCTGGGTATAGCTCAGCCTTGCAAAGGGCATCTCCCTCCATCTCATGGTTAAGCAGCTCTTCCTTAGGTGGGTGGGAAATGTCCTTTGGCTGTCTTCCTGATAATGTGGAGGCACAGACTGTGCTTTCCTCTAGAATACAAGAAGAAAGTTTGAGAACTGTTGTCATAGACACTTCTCCCCAGCTCGATCCATTGCCATTTGCCAGCAGCTTTCAGTCAGTGCAGCAGTGTTTCTGTCTTAGGCAGTATGAGTTGATATTTATAGCAGGCTTTCATGAGGCACAGTATCAAATGCCTGACTGAAATTCAGAGGCACTGCCCCAATGTGTTCACTAATTTTGTATCTCTGTCAGAGAAGCTGTAGTCTTTATAATCCTGTTAGGTAAAATCTTGATCTCATTAAAGTCAGTAGGGAAACTCCCTCTGACTTTCTTGAGGCCAGGATTTTCCTCAGGACTGACCCACCATTTGGTCATTCTGGATAGTGCTGGAGTGACCCAGGGTGGCACTCACTTGAAACCTCATACTGAGTGATGGTAATCTCAATGTTGCCCTGAATGTGTAGGACTAGGCACACAGACAGGGTAATTATTTCTAGTCCCTAATAACGGACCCGACTGAAATCATAGTAGTTTACCTGAATTTCAGTTGTTGCAGGTGCTGTTGTTTTACTGGCAGGGTAGCAAAGTTAGATTAGCAGTAAGGTAATTGCTGAGCTGTATCTCTTTCAAGATAGCCAGTTCTGCAGCAGATTAGAAATGCATCAGGAAATGGACTCATCACCATGATGAACATGGTTTTCACTACTACAACACTTGCACCAATTGCTGTGTTCCCTGACTACTTGTATAAGCGCACTACAAAATGTGTTGTCTGTAGTAACTTCATTGTACAAGTTCCAATTGCTTTCTAGTCTTTTAAATTAATTTTAAGAGGGCTTTATCTCTGTAGTCTCAGTCTTTTTATAYTGACCTTTTCAGTTACTCTTTTTTTTAGTCGAAGTGTTCTGGCTTTACCATACCAGTGGGGAGTTTGAAAGCCCTTTTGCCTCCATTCAGCTGTCATACTGGCATCAGTGGTAAGGCAAGCATTGTGAAAGCAGAGTTCAGCTGGATGTGAGAAAACAGCTTTCTCGGTTCTTCAGCTGTAATACTGAGGAATCTTCACATACAGATAGCTGTGTCTCTCTTGCAGTGTTTTTTTTTGTGCTCTCTGAGGTCTGCAAAGGGTAACTAAGAGAAGCAAGCCTGTCACTAGCAGGTTGAAGCGTGCTATGTTGAGCTCCACGTCTTCCTTGAAAATTTTTTGAGGATCTGCAGATTCAGAAAGACAGAAATCACTGATGTGTGTACATGCATTCCAGGAAAAAAATGTGTGCTGGGGATATAAGTGCTTTTCCCTGCTAGGATGAGCATTTTGAATCAACATATGCAGTTCCAACATTTTCTAGCAGTAACTTAACAGTAAATATCTGGTTAGCATTTCTGAAGAGACAGTTTGACAACCCTCTGTGCTGTGCTAATAAGAAGACACTGCTGTTTAAGTTAAATACATATTTGATCCCAAATCTCATGGAATCACTGACTTGAATACCTCTGGTTCCTGTTTATGAATCTTGGGCGTGTATTCYAGTATTGCAGCAAGTTGTAATGTGGTATGTGTCATTCAGCACAAGTGGTCATCTCCTTTCCAGGGGTAAACTGCTTCCTTCGTGTCCTAATTGTCACACTCTCCATCACCACACCTTGGAATGTACAGCACTTAGTGTAACAAATTACAACTGAGCAGAAAGGAAGCAGCACTTAGCTGAAATGCYGTACCTATTACATATTCTTTATTTCCTGACTGTTCTATTTCATTTTCTTTTTAATCAATATCATGCTCTTTTGGGCAAAGTTAAGTGGTCCTTTATCACAGACCACAAATTTCTGCCTTCTAGAATCACTGTTTTTATAAGTGCTTCAGGTGGTGGCTTTTCAGCTTTTTCAAGCTAGTAAAAAAGGAGAAGTAAAATTTAGTAAAAATAAATAAATGGTAAAATAGGAGTCAGAAATTAGTAAGTGGAGAATAGGCCTTGCCCAGTATTCCCTGGGTACCTTTCTGTTGACTTCAGCAGGAGTTGCATTTCAATAARCATTAAGAAAATATTAAGTAAGGATTTTAGAATTTGCCTCCTGTTCCTTGCCTGTATCAGTACTGGTACAAACACTTAATAAGTCCTGCAGTATCATTATGTAAGAGGTTTTCTGAACATCTCTAGATCTAAATTCAGATCTCCGTAAATTAATAGCCCATCTTGGTACAAAGCGCAAAACAGGTGATGTGGGGAACTGGAGGTTTATTTTGTGCAGTTTTTCTAGTTAAGAGCATTCTGTAGATATGAGACAAGCCACAGAGCTGAAATACAAACCAAACTTGGTTTGAAAATGTCCCAGAGTGCAGAAGGAACTAGCAAGTGTTAAAGCAGGACCTTTCTCATCACCTACCAAAGGTCTTGGTAGGCTGGGGAGGTTCCCACTGACAGAAAGTGAGCTTATAAGAAGGGTGTGAGGGAATACCTGGGAAGCTAAATACTGAGAGGCATGGGGCATTGGCCACTTCTCTAGGAAGCCTCTTCCAGGATTTGTCCACCCTCTTGCTTATGAACTGATTTCTCATGTCAGGTCTGAASCTCCCCTGAGTGACACAGCTTTGAACCATTCATATACGTCCCATCACTGGATGCCAGGCAGAACTCAACACTTCCCTCTCSGCTACCCCTCCTCAAGAAGCTGTAGTGAGCAATGCCAAGCTAGATGCAGTGCCTCAGCCACTCACCAAAGTACCTGCCTTTCAGTCCCATCACCAGCTTTGCTACCTTCCTCTGGCACATTCAAACATTCTTCGTAAATTGTGGGGTGCAATTTACAGGATTGCATTCCTGTACAATATTCCCYTAGAGTACAGGAATGCAATTAGTACAACTGTAGTGAGTCAGTTCAGTATGTGCTATGTCAGCATTCATTTGCCTTCCGCAGCCCTTTGCAGAATGGAAACATTGGTCTGAAAATGTACCGGCTAACACTTTGTTTCCGAATGCAACTCAAAGCATAGGTTTTAGGTCATAAATTTTTTTGAATAGGATTAAAAYGTCATTTGAAATCCTTTGCTCTTCGAAGATGTCTTTTCCCTGAAAGTCATCTGGACAGARKAYACTCCTAGCAAGGGAGTTAATTTCTAGCCTCACTCTGACTGCTGATCCATCAGATCTGTATTTGGACACATKCAGGGGCCTGTCTTGTCACACTGAGCTTGCATCGAAATGTTTCTTTAGCTGAATAGACAGAGACTGGCAGCTTTCTGCACTTACTGCACCAGTTTTGCAAACCAAGTGTGTACTAGAAAGTTGTTTCATAGTTTCTTTTATTAAAGAAAGAATAATGATCAGCATTTTAATCACACACACATTTTCTGCATTCACAATATCCATGGACCAGAAAGATCTCTAYCTCATGGTGTATTACTATAGGCCCCCATACTCCTACAGTTTGGAAACATTGAAGGAGGTAAATGGAGGCATGAGTAGATCACAAGATGACGGTGAGCCATCAGTGTGACACAGACAAATGCATTCTTATGTGTCAGGCGAGATACTTCCATAGAAAAGGCAAGCATTGTGCAAAGCCCTGGTGAGAACTCTGTACCACTGTGGACAGTTCTCATTCCTCCGTTCAAGAAAGATCTGTCTAGTGTGACTTCAGGGAAGTCTGGGATGAAGGCAGACAAAGACTAAGCAATTGATTAGGGGTGTACAGAGCCAAGGAAGATTTTGAGAAGAAGCAAGACAAAGGCTAAGAGAGCTGCCTTCACTTTCAACAAAGATGACAATGTAGTCAAAAGGAGGAAAAGAGCTATTGAAGTGCAAAGAAAAATATGGTAAAGAACACAAACCTATTCAGAACCTCTTTTAAAGAAGATGTCACCCTAAACAGCWTGCTTTCTGTATCTCTGCAAGGGTCATGCAGAGGGATCCAAAGCCTGTTTTTAACCACTGGTATTACTGCAATCAAATGTATGTATATGGTAGGAATACTAAGATTTATATAGTCTGTATGTACATACCAATTTTGGCCAAAATTAGAGTAATAGTGCCTTACTTACTCTTTCAGTGGGCAAAATACTGAATCCTAAAGGAAAACATATTTTTGAGTGTTAAACAAGATCTGAACATCTTCTTACAAATTGAGTTTGSCACATGGCATGGAGGTCTGTAGGCTGTTCAGGAGAGATAGGCAGGGCAGGAGAGTTGGAGGAATTAATCATATAAAAGAGAGAAGAATAGCCCTTATGGTTAGGGATGATGTGGTTGAAAGCCTCTGGATGAGGACTGGGAGAATAGAGTGACAAAGCAGATATCSTGATGGGATGCTAAGGATCAGGGTTTACTGGATTAATTGTTAAATTCATTTGACTTGAGAATTTACCTGTATGACTGGTTTAATTTCTGTGGCATCTACAGTGAACAGCATGGGGAATTGTGTTCTTCCATACTCTGTATAGTTCAASTTGTAAAAGTTCTGGATAAAACTTTATATTATTGTCTTTAGTCTTTACTTCAGTAATCTTGAAATGTCCTGTACATATAATACTGTTCTTTCTGTCTAGGCAGGCAATGTGGTGACAGGAGAGATGGTAGAAGAACTTATTCTTTCTGGAGCAGATATTATTAAAGTGGGTATTGGACCAGGTAAGTCAAATAAGAGTGGCTTTCAGTACCATTGGTGGAGGACATTGTCCAGACAGAGCCAGTGTATCATGCTRTTTTCCTTCCTTTTGTCTATACAAACATGCATGCACAATGTACGTGTATAAATAATATAGTTCAATTAGTAGATATAATTAACGTATTTCCCATTATGTTATGCTATACAGCTGTCAGATGATTGTCTCTCTTCTTAAATGCTGTATGCTGTTTTTTTTTCATATTCCCAAAAATTTCATTCAACCAAATATTTTTGCCTTCAGTATTAAACAAAAGATGGGAGAATCATTACCAAAAAAAAAAAAAAAAACCAAACCACAGATTTTACTAGATAATTGTTTCTTAAAACATGTAGAAAATAGATAGAAATATTTATCAGAAGAAATATTCTGGTAATAATCGCTGCTGCTGAGTCTCAAAGGTTGTGATTCTGTCCTTTTGTCCCTTCACTTCAGGCACCTCAGTCAGATCTGTTTTCTTGTGATGCAGTAATTCCCTGACTGAGAAGCATTACTGACGAGATCTAAACTGGGATTTGCCCTGGAGAAGAAAGGGGGGACATTAGGCTCCTCAGCCACAGCTCCCATGAGGTGCTGGGAAAGCATTTCAAAACTCAAGTTCCTATGTRTTCCTTTTATTTGTGAGAAGTCAGCATTGGCAACAGAGACTTCTTGAGAGAAAAATAATGCTGATAGAAACACATTTTTTCTATATCATTCTAATGGGCTATGTTTGCTCCTCTCATTCTCTTGTCTAGGTTCTGTGTGTACCACTCGGATTAAGACAGGGGTGGGCTATCCACAGCTAAGTGCTGTTATTGAGTGTGCAGACTCAGCACATGGCTTGAAAGGACATATCATCTCTGTAAGTAACTATCATCCACTCTGATTCCCACTGTGCAAATCTTCAGGGAATAGGAGAMTCAAGCAGTCTAGTACCCTGCATGTTAAAGCCTGTCTCTCTGTCATCTCCAGTTGACTCTTTTATTGCCTCCTGGAACCTGAGAGTCACAGGAGTCAGTGGAGATCCAGACGTAAAGAAGTCAGCTCCCTCTAAAATTAAAAAGACATGGGCACCTCATTCCTATTCATGCCTTTGGAAATCTGTTTCYTGCTCCCTGAATGGAATAAGCTGTGCAAAGAATGTGAACAGAATAGGAGGCTTGATAGTGTTTTCACTATTGCGCAAACAGTAATTGCTATGAAAGACTTCTGAAAAAGGAGTGGAATGTAAACATGGCTTTCCTCAGGGTGTGTGACTGAGGAGTAGGCAGGCAGTAGAGGTGAGTACAAGGTAAAATGATGCGAGCCCATTCATGCTTTAGTTGGATGGATTCAGATGGCATCCTCACAGAGCTCTTTGCACAGAGTCAGGAGTGTTTGAGGTGCCTCTCTTGAGCACAGAGCTGGCAAGTGGGCCACTTACCAAGCTCTCACTAAGCTCTGGGGAAATAACAAGCCTGTGGAGGAAAAAAGAGCATCTGTCTGTATTGCTGCTAATGGCAATTACTCTACCAGCTAATGGCAAACTCTACCAGCAAGTGCAGATTSACCTCACACAGAGAAAGTAAATTGGTAAGCATGGCCCCACACTGAGCTAGAGTGCTGTCTGCAGCACCCAAAGGTCCTGTGTCCGGTTTCCACAGCCTCTGCAGGCTGTCTGTGAGGCAGCTGCTCATGGGGAGAGCACAAGGGCTCACCTGTTCTGTGCTCACAGGTACCCTCACAGCCAGCAGCCTCCCTCTGCAGCCATAGGAAAGATCACACACTGGATTTTAGATCTACTGCCAAGTGCAGTCACTGGAAGGCCCTGTTTTTTTCGACCAGGTTGTTATTAGTATCCATGTGAGGAAGGGGACGTGTTGCGCTGTTGAAGAGGGAGGTGAGAGGAGAACAAACTGACTGGGGATGGGCAAAAGGTTTGACTATATCTTGGAGGATAATGGAGCAGGAACACATATTGCAGTCAGATCACTCTTGCTCTTTATTGTTAATGAATATGCATTCCCTCCTCTCCATGACTCCTCCATATGAATTTTGCAGAAAAAAAGAAAAGCAGTCTGTGGTTTTTCTGACTTGGGCAGTATTGCAAATGTTTCTGTCTATATCAGACAGTAGAATATGTGTGCAATAGAGCATGAAAGTCTCACTCGTTACTATGAAGGCTGGATAAGTACAGGTGTCATCCTGGCAGTGGTGCTCAGAGACACATCCTAGTTTGGCAATAATAATTTTCTGCTAGCAGCCCTCAGAAGAATGCTGTTATCCCGATTTTACAAGAAAACGGAGTTTATAATTAGACTGTTGAAAAATTAGATGGTTCTGTATTGTATTTCCTTTACTGCTTTGTCCTTGACCTGCTCAGGTTTCAGAGATCCCACACATATCATCCCCCTGGACATTATGGGGGAATAATAGGAAGGCAGTTTGATGCCTGTCTGCTACTACATCTGGGCCAAGTGAAGTATCTTTAKCTGCAGCTGGGGTCTCTAACGTCACTTCAGCTCAACACTGTCACCCAATCTGAGGGGAGTAAAGCAAGGGTAAGGACGTTATGCCTGAATTCTGGAGCATTCATATGGGTATTGGTGTATTTATTAGGGARAGAAAAGGCTGGACTGTATGGTTGTTGCCAGAGCTCTGGTAAGAATGTAATGGAGGAGAGGTAGCCTCGTGACAGAACAACACCATATGGTAGGARTCCTAGGTATAGAATTGGGTCTAGTGGCAACAAGTATACATGGCATCTGTCAGAATGTCTCGCTGCTGTCTTCCTGGGGTTTGAGGAAGGGGCCCACCCTGCCTCAGCCAAAAGAAATCACTACAAGCAGAGTGTTACCACAGCTATCTATCTATTCGTCAGGAGAAATGTGTCTGGCAGTTTTTTGTTTRGTTGATACAGAARTAGCAGGAGGGAGGTGAAAAGATTCGAATCCTACCAGCTAGCTTAATGTAGATTAYAGCTAATGGTGTGATATCGGTTAGTCCCTTGGAGCACTTTCGTGTTCCACTTCTGTCTTGTCCAGTACCTTCATCAAATTTCTCCTCATTCTTGTTATCTTGGTACAATTCCCATATGAAGGAAAAGAAGTCTTACTCTCAGAATGAGGAAGTGGTGGTGCTGAGCACTGCAGGGAGCACAGCACATCTGAACCAAGATCTTCAGGATCTGTGCTAGGATGGGAACACAAACTGGGATTTTTAACATTCCTGCTATAGAAGTTACCATGTATAACCATAATGGTATAAACCATACCATGTATGGTTTTTGGAGCTGATACATTGACAAAGAAGGTGACAATTTTCAGGCAAACATGGTCCAAGTGAACACCTGGTGCCTCTTTAGTCACTTACACAGAAAAGTAGGAGGTAAAATTGCTCCAGTTACTTTCCTCATGCTAAATTATCTGTAGGACTCAAACCTCACTTCAGAGATGTATCTTTCGTGACTCATTGAAAATAGAGAGGAAACCCTCCCTAAGATACAGGCATGGTTTCTGTCCTGTGCTGTTTGTCTGGGAGCCAGTAGTCTCAATTTTCATTCTTGCTAATCCACTGGGCTTGAGAAAATGCTGCAGTCAGTTACAGTGGAGGGGCCCTGCAGGAGATAAAGTTTCTGTTTCTTGTAGGTCAGAGAACTCCTCTGCTGGATARAAAGGCAGTCATGTATTCTAGTAAGCCAGCAATGTGGGGAATGGAAAGCAGCCTTGCATGTGTCCTCTCTCATGTGGCTATCATTTGACAGATATCCCTGTGTCCCCTTCACCCTGTCTGAGTGACGGGTCACCAGCATTCAGTGAAAAGAATGACTAAGAGGTTCTTGACCCAGCTACTGTCATACTGTCTTTTCTTCTACACAAAACACTTTCCACACAGAAATAGACCTGGTGTATGTACTGCAGAAGAAAGCACCATATGTATTGTTTTTCTGCTGTATATGGCACATACTTTATATATCTTCTGCATAATAAATAGATATCTGTTTGCTGATATGGTAGAAAGCACTGATTAGGCAGCTTATTTATGAAGGTTGCTTGAAACATAAATCATAGTTATAAACKCATTACAAATTGCATGTAATACTAAATATTCAACCAGTGCATACTGGTTTTCCATGCCATATTTAACTTGGGCTAAATTTTGTTGCTGTAAAATGGCTTATTTATCTGAAGAACAAGACTGGGGACAATAACATTACTTCAGCCATGTTAAAGTAATTCTGTTGACTGGAAATCTGCATTCCCCCCTCCTTCTTCCTRGCACCCACTTGGCTCAGAGTCATGCCCGTTGTGGGTTCCATGGTCATAATCCTTTCCAGTGGGCTTACTTTGGAATTATGCTAGTTCTCCTGAATTCAGAAGTGGATTTGTACAGTTCAATTTCCCCAGAGTTCTGAGGCTGAGCCTTCAGCAAGCTCCATAACTGAAGCCCAGCCATCTGTAAGTCATTTTGAACCCAGACCCAGGGTCCTGCTGTGGCAAGCTGAATTTCAAGGGGAAGCTTCCAAGGCAATGCAGCAGCAGAACATTCTTACTTCGTAAACAGAGTGCCTGATTTTTCACATGGAATGAAGTGCATTAATGTATATAGCTTTGTTATATAGCATCTTCTGTCATAACTGCTTAGGATGTTCCCTTTTTGTTTCCCTTTCTGTGAATCACTAAATTTACCTGCTTCTCTGAAATAACTGGAGACATTTACAGATAAAAGAGTGCTGTGAATCATCTTYGTCGGTTCCTCTTATCTTAATTGGTAACTCATGAGCTTTTGGCAAGTTTCTTAAGATGCTCAGCATTTTGTAATTTGGTAACATTCAAAGTGATATATTTTAAAGCCAATGATTAATGGTTACACAGTAAGGCCCCCATCCTAATGATACTTCTGAAAGCATAAAACCTTCATCACTGCTACTACTGGGTTAGTTGTCAAAGTCAGACACTGAGCCACCCAACAACAACTGACTGCAACCCACCTACTAGACAGCATTCATAGCCAGTGTCTCTCAGACAKTAAGAGTCCTAAAACTGTTCTTTGAAGATCATTAGACCCTGCTTTCTATCCTGGCTCTTCCTCCCCTGACACATGCACACACACACCTTCCTCCAGGCTATGACAGACTTGTTAGAGGGAAAGAATTGCACAAGCATAGCCCTTAACAGGAGAGATTCAGCTGTCAGCCAGCCCTTGTTTCTGGAGCTGACAGCAAGGGTGTCTAAGCTCAACAAAAGGCATAATGTGCGACAGGTTATCAGCTAATGGACTAAAAGCCTTTTAAGTTCTACCAGGCACTGTTTGCAGTGGGGTGCCCTTTGAAAARCCACTCACTTTTGGATCCACCTGCTCAGTTTGTGTCTGAATCCTTTCCTGGGCACACAGAGTTTCTAACCTGCAGCCCTGCTGCCAGCTGCCCATCAAAACCAGTTCTAATGTGGCTGATGGTGGGGGTGTCTRGCTGTGCTTGGCCGGAGGTCATGCACAGCCATGCATTTCTGCCAACAGGGAGGTGAAACAACGTGAGGTAACCGGCTGGTCTGAGGAGTAGCTTCTAAAGCAGGAAAACTGTTGGCAGTCTGCAGTGGATGCAGATGATCAAAGGAATGGGGAGCTCTCCTGATACAATGACTGTGTAGTGAAAGRGATCTTTCATCTGGTGCTCAGACCTTTACAAATCCTGAAGAACCACAGCACATGATAAGCCCTGCTGTATGCCATTCCTTTCTTACAGCTCTATCACACATGCACAACTTCCCTCCCCTCAACTGAAACCTCTTCATCAGCCACGCTTTACGCTGAAACTAAAATGGATAGGTCAAAAATCTACAGATTCAGAGTGCTATTGTTTCCCTACCATGCCGAGGATAAGAGGTTCATTTTCACTTACCAAAGATTACATTAACCAGGTTTCTTAGAGGTGATTAGATTAAAATTGAACATATCTAACGGTATATTCCCTCACCCCTCCCACTGTGACCTTTTAATGTGTTATAAACTGCTGAGGAAGTTATTTTAAATATCTTTGGTGGTTTAAGGTAGAGGCTTTGCATCCCTCGGCCTTCCATTAAAGTGGCAAGGGACAATTCAGATCATCAGAGGAGGTTTTGGTTTCTGGGATTTGGGAACTTGCCGTCAGGAATTTGCGTTGCTGCAGTTACCAGTGGAATGATCAGTAGACTATATGGCAGAGTAGGTGAGCCTAAAGGAGGACGGCAGTGGAGAAGATCATATGGATTCCCTGAAAATGCAGCCAAGATGATATGTGGCAAGTGCACTATCAGCTCTCCTAACATGCTATTCCTGAGCAGGGGCCACAGTGCTGCAGGTCGCAGAGCTCCAGTGCTCACTGGGTCCCTGAGTGACTTCACTGCCACTCACTGTTGTCTTTCCTTTGTGCAGGACGGAGGATGCAACTGCCCAGGAGATGTCGCCAAAGCGTTTGGTAAGGACAGTGTGTTGTGACACCCCCCACGTGTCTCCAGCGTCCCTGGCAGCAGGGATGCAGGAATAAGTTTGACCCTGAATGTGTAATCAATTAGCAATAGGTTACGTTCATCCCTGTGGGTGACTCCAGGGAATTTAATGCACCAGGTATGAATTTGCTCTTTGGAACAGTCCAAATTCTGCAGTGCGAAACATAGAGTGGTCAATGTGCTATTTAGAAATTATCTGCCAGGTGTATGAGATACAGCCCCTGGGAGTGTAATACAAAGAAAACTGAAAAGTGTTTCTTCTGAGTAGGCTTCAGAGATGCCTGTAACATTGCTAGATCTGACTGACTTGAACCTGGAGTGGAAGAAGGGCTGGTGGAATGCATGTTGGATGSAAGAACAAAACAAAAAGGCAGGCTAGATCTCTAGAGATGTTCTTGGGATCAGCTGTCCACTTGAAGAGATGAGATTCTATTTATACTGTATTTCCTAGAGCTAGGCAGATATCTAAAACATCAAAGTTAATAATTAACAGATGTTGCTTTCATGTAAAAGCAAAATTACTTGCTGTAGCCAGTAAATTCAGTGAATTGCACCAGCTCTTGGTAATAGAATAGAGGATTTAATCTGTTGAGTGTTATCTGCTGGGCATGAAAATTATGTTGGTATGGGGGGGGTCAAACTCTTGATTGTCACTTAGCCATAACTTGTTATAGCAGCATATGGGAAGCAGGCACTAAATGCATCCCRAGATGACAAGACATTTAAAGGCACTCTCCCACCTTCTAAAATGCCAGACTCTTTGGAGGTGTCAAGTAGGATAATGCTTGGAATACAGTGGGACAGCAGTCTCTCATTGGGTTTTCAGGGTGGTATGAAAACAAGAGATAGCACATTATGATACAGAATGTTTGCTTTACAGGAGCTTTTACAAGTATGGAAAGTAGAGGCAGGGCTAAACTCAGATTACAGGCTTGCCAAGAAAAACTCTAGGCCTCTTGGAAAGGCTGAAACCAAAATCGGTCTTCTAAGTTTGCAGACAGCTCCTGTTTTGAGGCAGGTCAGATGACAAGGAAGACTTAGAGAGTTCTAAGCACAGCTGTGGAGTGATTCCTACCAGCAAGGAATGTGCTTGGTCAGAGGATTTCACATAATCCTTGTGTTAACCAGTGGTTGATGCTATGCAGGGAATAGATACTTCCAGTTGGGTGATTCTAACATAGCTGAAGAGCAGTGTCCACTCCCTTAGACAAKATTTTATTAAAAGTGCCCAGCCTTTCCTCAGCCCTCATCTGATGTGCTGCTTTGTTCTGCCTTTTTCTGGCTCCACCACTTACCAAGTTCTTACTGGTCATGTGATCCTTGGGAGCTTGTGAACTGAGACTCACAGCTGTCTCCACAGAAACTTGGCCTGTGGAAAAGGTCTTTGTTCAACCAGAGCATTTCCAGAAGTTAAAACAACAGGAAGCATCTTCACAGTGTTTCAAATGTTTTTTGTTGTGGTGTTTATTACAAGTCTGAAAGATCTGTATATTCTCTTTGGGATGATTGAACCTAAACGTGCTTGAAACCTGTGAAGAGGCAGCTTCTGGCTTTGCTATTCTTCAAGAGGTACTGGGATTCACAGTGGTACATGTCTGAAGGCTACTGTGGAATTATCCCTTCAACAGAGGAGCATCAGAAAGCTGGCATTTTACAGGCACTAGTTGTACTCTTCGTAGTAGCCCTGACAGATCAGTACTGTGTYACAGCTACAGAACTGGAAATTATGGAGATGACCCTCAGGCAATAAACTTACTGTATCTCATTATGTACAATTGAGGTAGATTCACCATGAATATCTGACTAGCTGGACTCAGGTGTGCATTTGTCAAATGTATGTGGCAAAATAAGCTTTGAGGTAGCATTATTACTATCAGTGTTTATTGAATGCTCTGAAGTTGTTGACTGTCTCAGCCTTGTAGAAGGTGACCACCATGCATAACATGTACAAGCCAAAGCCCTGACAGTGAATTGTCTAGCACAGACCTCTGTGCTTGAGTTACATGAATATATTGGATAGCAAAGACCAGTGATGAAACACACAGATGGACAGTTTCATCTAGGGAGGAAGGCCTGGACAAAGCATTGGCAAGAGACCTGGAGAAGACATTTGGTTAAAGTAATTATGCTTTTTCTGGTGGATCATTGTAAAATCATTGTAGAACAGGATGATTCACTATAAAGCAGTGACAAAGCATCCATTTGAATCTTGGGMGTGTGAAGACTAGCACTGACAAATGGCTAAAGGTGTGACTGGAGAAGGCAAGTTCATGGAAACAGGAGGAGTAGARCAGATTGAATGCAAGTGGAAAACTGTGAAGAACCCCAGAGCAGATGTTGAGACGCTTTAAGATGACACCATTGACTGGTGTCAGGACTCAGGGAGAGTGGGCATTTTGACAGAGGGGAAACAAGGTAGAAGCGTATTTTAAAATGCAAGGAGCAGGCAAGCACTGAAGGTGCGGGWCAACAATACTGGGAGAAACATTGGGAGAGACTGCTGGAATTCTGGAGCTGCTAGATGGGAACTTGGYATGGATTTGGTAACTGAAGATGTGACTGCCATCTGGGTATTAGAGATGATAATGAAAAAGATGTAGGTTGATGGGGAAGAAAAGGGCTGTTTTGATGCAGGAATGAGAGAAAGCATGAAAGAACTTCATGCTGGGCTCTCAGATGGTTCATCTAACTGAACGCTTTAGAGAGGCTGATAACCTGAATACATTTCTCAGAATGCTCCAGCGAGGCACTATTGTCTCCGTTTTTAATGGTGAGAAGTCAAAGCACAGTTCAATTGCCTGAGGTCACATGTATTTTTGTGACACAGCCATGAAAGAATGTGCCTTTTAAATCATATGCCAGCATCCTTAACACGTAACTGCTGGTCCTTACAACAGTGGTGAGAAGAGATGCAGGAGCAGGGAAGGAAAAGGAAGGAAAAATGGTATGGAAAAGTCAATTGGGGACATACACTAGTTCCAAATTATAGCAGATCGCACCATCTTTTTCTCCTGTTTTCAATACCTTTGTGTGTATCTACTGGTGCAAAGGCTCACAGGCTCAGCTGGAGCACAAGTGAATGTTGATTCCAGGGCAAGCTCTGGTCCAGGCAAACTTACACTGCCTCTGCCTGGAGGGCTGCCCAGCCTACAAATCCAGGTGGACTCCAGCTGAATTTGTGCAGAGCAAATCTGGTTATCAGTGACTTGTGTAATCTGGCATACAAAAGACATCTGAGGGACTCTATCCAGATCCAGCAGAACTGYGTGAGTGCTGCAAGCTTGGGCTGGTATCAGCACTGCCATTCTGTAATGGCTTGAAAGAGGAGGCACTGTGAAATGTGAATGAGCAAAAGCAGCCCATATACAACATAAGCCTCAAGGAGAAAGTCAGTGCATGGAAGTGGTATTGTGTGGAAACAGGATTAGTCTGGCCATCCCTGAGTGAACTTCTGGGATGCYTGTGTGCAACATACTCCATCATGTCCTCTCTTATCCAGGGGATTGCCAGGTCTCCCATAACCTGAAATAATGCCACATTGTCAATCTGTACTTGAAAACAAAAGACTGCAGATGAATGCAAACATCATTGCAACAACATTGTTGCAAACATCACAAGTGTTTCTGGTGGTTATACAAAAACAAAGTGTGCATAAGTTAAAGMCCATGCTAAAAATTGCAGCCTCCTGGGCAGATAGTAACTGATAGAGAAGTAGTGGAACAGACTTGAAACTTTCAGTTATCTTTGCAGCACTGAAGCACAGTGGAAGGTTCTGGAGAGCACTGGAGAAGTATATTTAATATGGGCTTGTCATTTCTGGAGCAGCAGGGCAGCAAGCATGTGTCATTTTAATGTTTAGACRTGCTGCATCTGCTGTAACATAGCTCCTCTTTTCTGGAAAAGCTTGATGAATTATGTTGTAGTTTGCAAAAGTTACTCAAGTTGGATGAGTTTCAATCCTGTACTTCAAACATATTTGCTTCCCTCCTAAAATATGCAGCCAAAAGGAAAATAATAAATAGATACTGAAGTGCACAGGAACCAAAATTCTGTGATTCTGAAGTGTAGATTTCATATGACTTTTGCATTAATAATTTGAAGGCTCTAAGACCAACATCTGAAAATGGCACTAGAATTGGAGATCAGGAGATAGTATTGACAAGGTAGAGTCCATCATGTCTTTTGGCAGGCTTTGTTTAAATGCCCTCTTTGAAGCCTTGACCTCAAATCTGTCCCTCCTTTCTCATGTTTTCTTTCACTCATGAAGAAGACATAAACTGGATTTGTCAGGGTATATATTTTGTGCAAAGATGGAGCAAGGTTGTGCCAGGTAGCAACAGGAATTTACCACCGGTAATTARAGGATGAGTATTCCCTTTTTTTTGGCAGGTTAATAGTAGTATCAGGTATGAGTCAAACCAAGTCTTTAAAACTCAGCCATCTGAAACAATGGAGCTCAGGAGAAATCTGCCAGGTAGCTGGCATGATAGGACACCTGAATGGGTGCCTAGCTATAAATACTGCTTGTAAATACTTAGCACAAGCCTCATTTTTAATGACCCTTTACCATGGACATAGTGTTCCTTTTAAGCAGCCACCAKGCGAAGGGAGGTGCTCTGCTCCCAGGCATTGCTGCCAGTTCTTCTCTTTGGCAAAGGGCTGGAGGGAGGAACTGGCACACTCCACCCTTGTCATGGGTTCTAAGATCATAATATTTCCAAATTCAGATTTGGCAGAAGCTGATCAGATTTGATAGTGATTTCACTTTTCAGATTTCAAGGTCTGGTGCTATTGTTTGAATAGTGACAGAGATCAGAGCAAACCCTACTGCCAGACTTACCTAGTTTGGGATCTGCCCAGAATTCAGATRTGTTCTTAGCAGGATGGGTGTAGTTCAAGCTCATATGCTTTCTGTGAAATGAGGTTTATAGCTAAGTTCTTCTGCCAGTTTTGGGAAGAAGCTGAGCAGAGGGGAGGCCTATTTTGACACATGTTGAAGAAGCAGAGAGTATGAACAAGGAGAAGCTTTGTTTTAGGGCTGGGTCACCAAAGGCTCATAAAAGACTAAAACTTTTCAAAGCAAGACTAGATATGCCAAAATATCACAGGAGGAGCTGCTGATGGAACAGCTCCAGCCTAGCTGGAAATACTGGAGATCACAGTAGAAAATCAAGAATTATTCCAAAAACCTTCTTCCTGATCTTACTCCCAGTGGAACCAGTTTCATGATTTACAAAGCCAGAGGAGATAGATAGACTGAACTGTCATAATTGAGTATTSAGTGTTGCTATTCAGTATCTGAAACATATTTAGGATTTGTAGCCATAAGTTAGACCTCTTTTGTGGTGCATGCTGAGAACCCCAGAACTCAGGGTGGTCGTCCTTGGCCCAGAATTTTTAAACTGGGACCAAATGCAGACCCATCCAGCTCTTTGGCTAGGGATTATCCAGAATAACATTGAACCCATACGGCTGAYGGACTTGAAAAATCCATAATTTGAGTAAAAAAATCTGCTTGTTTTATGTCATTGTWGGGAGGACTACATTATATTAGTGAGTCTGCTTTCCTTCAGGGTATGTTCCCACTCACAGCTTGTGACCAAGAAAGCTCTTGAAGTAGGAACTAKCTGCTTCTCTGTACAGCATTGAGCTCAACAGGTCCCAGCCCTGTGTTTAGGACTTCTGATTGCTGCAGTCACAGTTAATAAGGAATCGTGCTCACATACTATTATGAAGTAAAGGGTTAAAACTGAATTTGAAAATAAAATACTCTGGGGTAGAGTAGAATAATCTATATCTTTGTCGTCATAACAGAAAAGTATTTTTTCCATTTAAAATACAAGAGAAACACAATTTACCCTTTGTCAGTTCTTCAGTAAAACTTTTCTTCCAAGTTTGCTATAACTATTACAGGAGGGGACTCTGGACCAAGCTTTTAAGTGCTGGCTGTTGTTTTCTGGAGATCACTGTTCTTGCTTTGTCTTTCACCCTTCTCCTTTCCCTGCTTTCTTACATGTCCCTTTGCTGATCACAGGAGCCGGTGCTGACTTTGTCATGATTGGAGGAATGTTTGCAGGCCATGACCAGAGTGCTGGAGACATTATAGAAAAGAATGGAAAGAAGGTGAAACTATTCTATGGAATGAGCTCTGATACAGCCATGATGAAGCATGCAGGAAGGGTTGCTGAATACAGGTATGAATTCCACACAGGAGCAATTGTAGTGAGCCATCCATCCAGGAACTTCTGGAGCAGAATGATGCTAAAGGAAACAGGCCTATGCTGCATTGAAGAACTTGTTACCTGCACAGCATTTCTGAGAGAGGGGTGACATCCAGAGGGAGACAGGGAGAAAGAGCTGGGGTTGGCTAGCTGACAGCAGTGATGTTCACTGCTTTGCAGCTGCTTTGGTACTGCAGCACCAGCTGCATGGTCTGGGAAGTCATTAGGCACTCTTCTGATTTCCCGGTCCCTCAGAATATGTATGARCTGTGTAAATGCTGGAACATGGCATACCAGGATGCAGTTTTTATCCCTCTGTTTGTCCAGGTTGAGTGTCCTGTTGGTGTATGGGTTCCCAGCTAAGCCACATGCTCCCTTCTGTTTGCAGAAAGTGTGTGCTCGTGAATTGGTGAAGCTGAGCTGGGGTTTTCCCTAGTGCAGAATTGAGTTACAGCTGTAACACTGATGAGGGCTCAGGACCAAAGCACTCATTCACCAGCAACAGCCCCAGGACTCCTTCCTGTGTTTGTTGGGCAATCTTCTTAGGCAGCAGAAGCCTTCTGTATACAGGTTTCCCACCTCACTTTTGGTAACAGATCACCAGAGTAGCCTCAAATAGTGCAGAATGCAGTTGATTTGTTGGTTTGGAGCTAAAATCCTCAAGGGAGATGAAAGGAAGACAGGCTTTGCAAACTAATCTATTGTCCATTGCAATTTTACCCTGGAAAGTGCTGAGAATTCTGACTTTTTAAAAAAGCAGATGAACCAGAAAACCTGTGTGTCTTCTCTCTTATGAGTGACAACCTTAAGACAATATGGTTTAACATACTTTGTTAGAGAATGTCTCCTATCTTACAGTGAACACTGGTTTATTGAGGGGTCCCTTTTGATTTTTCTCTGCTGGTGTGGACTCAGGCTCTGGTCCCATCTGGTAAACTCCTGTTTGCAAGAGTTTCAGACACAGTGACCTTACCTGCTGTTCCAGGCAGACACTCAGGATTAATGGGTTTTGTTTGCCTTGTCTGCTACAACTATTCCAGCACACTGGTTTTTCCCAACATGTCCAGCTGCTATCAACAGGTAAGAGTTGCAGCTCTGTGAAAGTACAGAATGTAAAGCATAATGGGATCCACAAAACAAAATTCACATTTTGACAGAGATAAGCTGATAGATAGCAATCCCAGATGTCATGCTAGATAGAAGGATCTTCGATCCCACCTGCTGTTCTCCACCCCAGCATTGACTCTTGTGGTGGTTTTCGTCTGCACATAAAATGGTGCTCTAGTTCACGTAGCACTTTGCGATGTGCAAAGTGGTAAAACACAATCTCGTTTGGGGCATTTACAATTGTCTCCTTTGGCCTAAATCATGGCATCATAAAATCATTTGGGTTAGAAGAGACCTTTAAGGTTCAGCTACTCCAACACCCCTGTAATGAGCATGGGCATCTTGAACTAGATCAGGTTGCTCAGAGTCCTGTCCAATTTGGCCTTGATGTTTCCAGCGATGGAGCATCCACCTCTTGGCAACCTGTTCAGCATTTTTGCTCTCAAGCACAACTGTTTATTTGAAGAAGAAAGAGCTGCGCAAGAGGCCATCTGCATCTGAGACAAGCTGAAAGGATGCACCAGAAAGATACGCTTGCATATCTCTGAACTTTCATTCACTTTGGGTTCATATGCCACTTGCCAGAAGCAGTGTTTTTTTTGTCCTCCAGCAAATCTGCTTGTTGGCAAAGCCGCTGAAAAAGTGATCTGAGTGGACAGCACTAGTGTCTCATAATATAGAAGTAGCAGCTGCCAATTACGCAGTGGTGCTGGCAACCTTTTATCAGAATGATCATTTTCTGTCCTTTGCTACCATGTGTTTGAGTCAGCTGGAGTGTGGGAAAGGCCTGATGCAGGCAGGCTTATAGTTAATGGAAGCTCCCTGAGAGATCAGAGCAGCCCAGGCATGTTGCATGGATCTCAGTGCAGCACAGGTGTTAGGGCCGTGCCTCCACAGAGGTGGTGTCAGCTGCAGGAAAAGTCTGAGAAAGCTGGTTGAACCAGAGGGACAAAGGACTAAGGCAGCCCKTAAATTCTGTTCCACCTTGTTAGGTGTGTGTGATGTGGCAACAAAATTTATTGCCAGCAGAAGTAATTGACACTGGTCCCATTTAAAAATGAGATAAAGTGCAAATACTCTCTCTTGTRGGAGCAAATGATGTACAGAAAGGTGCTGTATTTGGCTCACTCTAGACAGACCCTTTAAAGTCATTATGGGCAATGCTATACAAATTTGTCTTGATCCATAGCTGTATTTGATTTGCACCCTTGGTTTGAGAATTCCCTGGTACCCAAGTTCTGATGCTTCCTCAGCAGTAAGGAAGCAAGAGCAATCTGAAATTTTTAGTCCCTTTCGAAATACTGCATTTTTGTGCCACTAATAGGTAGCATAGAAGGAGTCTCCCAGTCTACTGCTGATACAATGGCTCCAAACACTAAATCCATGAGCTTTGGCTCTTAATTATGGAAGTGCTGATAYTCATCTTCACTCTACAGCTGTGACACAGAGCTGGCTACCTGTACCAGCCTTGGCCTCAGTCTTCCTTGGCCTGTCCCAGCTTGAATGTCACTGTGGTTTAAAAACAGCAGCTGCTAAATCTAGCATTGTAAATATGCATTAAAAGGGGATTTGAAACAGCACAAGGCTTTGCTTTGAATTGCTCTTACAGTAAAAGTTACAGGAAGTTTAATCACTTCCTAGTTTAGCTTATGGCAAGCGTGAACCAAAAGGGTTCTTAGTCAGCATTTTAAAAGCTAGATATCCCAAACTTGACCCAWATAGGTCAAGTCAGTGGGGTTCCTTTATATGCATTAAAAGCCCAGCTGTGAGTATGTATTGGTGACCCAAATAAGCTGTTTTGTTTTTAAAAGAGCTTGAGCACTCACATTGCGTTATTCAAGTGGTCAGGAGCTCAGTGTGCTCAGTCCCCTGCAGAATCAGACTGYTTGTCACTTAACTTCATCTTCTCAAAAGTACATGTGTTGGCTGGAGAGCCAGAGCCTGCAGCAGTTACATTAAAACTGACAGGTAAGCTGAGATGGCTGTAGCAGGGAATAAAGTCATGAGAGTWATCATTTCTGTAATGAATATGTCAAGCTGATCCCATTTAATCTGTGTACCCAGTTTCATTACTCTTAYGTCATTTATATATTGGCTTATTTTTACATTTTCACCTCCTTCCATGAGGAATAGGGATCAGAGCTTYGGGGATTTCTGAAAGGCAATTTTTGTGTTTCTTTTGTGGGAGAAGGGAAATCAGGCAAGCAGGGACTGAGGCTGCATGCGGTATTGTTCAGTTAAAACCAATTTGCTTTTGTTAGCCCTTTTGAGATTTCACAGGTTTTGTGTGAACGCTGCAGTTCTATTGTGGCCGCTCAGCAATTCACAGCTGCTACTAAGCTGGGTTTGRGCACTTTACATTAACTGCAGGGTGAAATTTTGGCCACAGAGAAGACTAGTACCAGCTGCTGGYTGCTGCTTACCATCTTGTCATGTATCCCAAATGATAGCCTAGAAGACCTGCCCCCAATTCCTCAATTTCTTAAATGCCCCACTTGAAAGATTGCCTCATGCCAGGGCAGCCTGACCCCTTTATTCTGACCCACCCTGCTGGGCTGACTGCACCAATACATGTGCTTCATCCCATCTAGCCTGCCAGGACTCCCACCCACCACACACATCCCTCCATGCAGCAGCCTTCAGCTGGCCAGGAGGGGCACCACAGACTGGGCCCTGTGCCAAGAGTCTGAAGCAAATAATTCTCTGTTTCTGTTCACCACTCAGTGGCTGACAAGAGACAGAGTCACTGCTGAGAGCATCTGAACACACCTTTCTCAGCTGCTGGGAGCCTCGGTTGCTCTGCCATTGCCTGTGTTTCTGAGAAGGGGTTAGTTTTGGGTCACAACTCCAGGAGAGATGTCAGAGCTGCAAAACCCTCAGCAGTTCCTGCTGACTTGCTTATGCACTCTCTGCCAAGTGTGCCAGCTTTTGTGACAGTCCATGTAATCCATTGTCATGGTTTATCCCGGCAGGCAGCTGAACACCACACAGGTGCTCACTCACTCTACCCCACAGTGTGATAGGAGAGAGAATTGGGAAAAAAAMCAGCAAAATTAATGGGTTGAGATAAACACAGTTTAGTAGAACAGAAAGGGAAGGCATAATGACAATAATGACAATAATAATAACAGCAATAATAATATACAAAACAAGTGATGCACAATTTTCACCACTCATCTGTCAATGCCCAACCAGTTCCCAAGCAGTGGACCCAGCCAGCTTCCCTCCCTAGTTTATATACTGAGCACGTTGCCATATAGTATGGCGTATCCCTCKGGCCAGTTTGGGTCAACTGTCCTGGCTATATCCCATCCCAGCTTGTGTCCCCCAGCCTACTTGCTGGTGGGGTGTGAGGAAGAGGAGAGTCTTTTATTTGCGCTAAACACTGCTTAGCAATAATTAAAAGACTGGTGTGTTATCAACTTTATTTCCATGCTAAATACAAAACATAGCACTGTACCATMTACTAGGGAAAAAAATGAACTGTATCTCAGCTGAAGCCAGGATATCTATGCATGGCCTATGTATAGCCATTTTCTGCTGGCAAAACAGTCTCTACTTGGGGATTTTTTTACATTGTTTCATTTTTTTGCCAATGAACTCACTTTAAATCACTGCTGTGTAGTTAAGGATTACAGGCATGTGAATACTTTTCCTCACCTTTTTCCAGAATCCAGCTAGACTTCTTTTCACCATGTCTGCCATGTCTGAACTCCCCCTACTTTCACCACAGGTCACACTCAATCATTCTCAGTTCCTTCAGTGAGAAAAGGGGTGGCACAGGACATTGTGGTTATGTGTTAATGATTTCTGTCTGCTACTCTTCTTTTTTCTCCATTATGGGTTGTCCACAAGACACAGTCCCTTTACAGCTGTCCCCGTTCTGGCATGGGTCATACAGGGCTTACAGTCCCTTTAGGAGTACACATCTTTCTCATGGAGTACCTCGTCTCAAGCGTGCCTCTCTAGCTGCACATCTCCTCAGGTGTGTCCAGGTGTGTTTCCTCCTGCAGTGGCTGCTGCCATTTCTTAAATACACTTGAGCAGAGGTGTTGTGCTCCCCTGACTCACTGAAGGTTTGGTGACTCATGCCATTTTTGGAGTCAGGTGGAACCATCTGTGGCATGATGCTAGTCATGGCCTTCTCCCACACAGGTCACACACTGACTGTGTCACCTGAGCCCTACCATGTTTGCCCAGCACAGTACYCACGTGGGTGCTCATGAAAATCAGCTGGGTGCTCATAATCTTGGGTACTCATGAATGTACTAACAGGGTGTTTGGACATAAATAATTTGGGTATGCATGCATGAACTGATTGGATGCTTATACAAAAATTATTGGCCATTCATKCATCAATTAACTGGACATTCATGCATTAGTTTATTCAGTGCTCATGTGTGAACTAATTTGGCACTTACACAAGAGCACAGCAAGCCCAGCAATTTATGTTCTATACGTCACTCCTCTCCCCGACAAGGCAAATATCGAGGAACTCAGAGAATGTTAATCCAATATGAACTCTTTTGACATCATCACGGTCTTAATCTACATCACSACTTTTCCTCCTTTTGGGCCAGCCAGTAGGGATTAATACTGTAGCATTACACTTACTAAAATGTCTCTCCTCCATCCTGAGCACTGTGTTAAAGGGGTTAACATAAAAATTTGTTTTTGTATATCCATATGGATACAGATCCCACCCCTGGGTCAGACTAAAGCAGTTMATAGTGCACCAGTGTGGGCATACACATAGTAAAATTCCACCCACACTTCCTGGGAACCAGATGACTGCTCAGCTTGGTCTGAGCAGATGTTACCTCTTAAAACCCCCTTTTCTCTGGGTAGTAGAGTATTGGGATTAATGTTAGCACAGCTTGAGTATATTTCATCACAAACTTCATCCCCCCCATCCCTGTGGACAAGACTATGGAGCTGATCTCACACCCCTCTCTTCCAAGCATGCTTCCCCCAGTATGGTAACTGCAGGTTATTCCTTGATCAACAGGACAATCCCACCAGCACAGCAGTGACACTTAGAGGAGCAGTAACAAGTATTCAGCTATCAGAGCTTTGGGGCTGTGTTCACCACTGTTGTAGATTTTGGTGTCCAAAGCTAAAAGTGGCACCCCACAAGCTCCAGCTTCCTAACACCACCATAGCCTCTGCAGGGATATCTCCCAGGGCAGTGGCTGTAGGCATCACCCATTTCTGTAATTTTGCACTGAAAAAAGGACCACCAAGTGTTCATGGTCATAGGTGTAACATGCAGCTTATGACCCACAGGATGCTAATGCACAAATTAACAGGGAACTTATATTTGAACTGGTGGTGCATTTGTGCATGAATTAATTGGTCTCTTATGCATTACCTGAATGGGCAGTCCTGCACTTCTTGCCCAGTACAACATGCAGAGCTCCTCAGATGGTGGGATGTGGTAGAATTTGCACTGGTTTCCACAAGTCCCAGACATGTGATTCTCACAATCTCACAGGAAGCTCCCTGGAGCCTGAGCTGAACTTCCCAACTTTGACTGGAAGAGATGGGCATGGCCAAAAGCCAGGAGCAGTGGCATGAGTGTCATTTAATGGGTCCAGCCTTTTCCTGCTGGCACTGGAGCTGAAAATAAAAGCCTGGGAACTCCCAGCAGCATGAGCTGTACAACAGACCCCTGAGCCCTGTGCAGTCTGCAAAATGCCAATGGCACATCCATATTCTGTTGGTCACTCACTGCAGTGTTTATTTAAGAGTTTCAAGAAAGAGTCAATTATTCATCAGATGGCAGGAGATTAATTATGGCTCCTTACTCACATGGCATATCAACACTTTGCCTTTATCATCTCCCTAGGGCTGTGACCTCACATTTAAACTAACAGGATGAAATATAGTCAGGCTCACACTGAAGTACCTCCACACAGCAGCTGTTGCTGTTGTTAATGATTCACAAATGGAGCCTCACAAACAGGCATGCCCTTTCTTTCTTGTACTATCCCCTGGAAACTTTTTTAAGGAAGAAGAAAATAAAGCCACATTTACAACAATGACAAACCCCTGCCATGATTTCTGCCTCCATTTTGTAGGGCAGAAGGAAAGCATCTCCCTTTTYCTCCACATTTGTCTATGTGGAGGTCTACCGTCCCTTCCTAAGGCCTGCCTTTCCAGAGGAGCCACTGTGCCAGGCAGAACAAGCTTACTCTAAAGCCTAGAGATCAGCTGCTGATTAGGAGTCTGCTACACGTGGGGTTGTTGAACATGAGGCTGGAGAAAGCTGGAAGAGGAGTGCAAGTTATTTGCCTGGATTCTTCCATCATGTAATTCTTCAGATGCACTTTTTGGGAACAGTGAGTCTGTGCTGGCATGCACCAGCAGTTGACAGTATTCACAGCACTGCTATTTTTTCTGGCCTTTTTACCTGGCTGTGAATTTTGCTAGATCACCTTTAGGTTCAGGGGACAGCTGTGTAGCAGGTTTCTGTACCAGGTTTCTCACTCTGTGAACTCCGGAGARTGACACTGGTAGGAAGAAACCCAGAGCACTTCCATCTGTGTTGGATCAGTGACATGGGATGAAGCCCAGGGGCTGTAAAGCCCCTGTAGAGCTGTGCTGGGTGGTGCCTGCTGAGAACCAGCTGCAATATTTCTTTGTTGTCTGAGTCTGGCTGTTCCTTACACTTTAAAGCCTGCAGCACTCACAATCAAATTTACCTTTCAATTAAACTGGAAGTTTTACTTGCTTGTAGGCAGATGGTAGAGGGGAGGAAAGGGCAGATCTCTAAATAAACTCATGAGATATTGGAGCATCTACAAGATCTGTCTACTTCTAGTTCTCAGTGTTGGTGGTGAGTAGAGCTGAGGCATTTCAGTGCTTGAGAGCACCAAGCAGCAACGAGCAGCAAGCAGTAAAGCTGGGGCCACATTTGTAAACTACAGCCTTCAGAGTATTAAGCCCCACATTGCTCCAGTTAATACACTCATGTTTTGCATCGAGACGTGACTACAGTGACTGATCTCTTCTCCAGGGCTTCRGAGGGCAAGACTGTGGAGGTACCATACAAAGGGGATGTGGAACACACCATCCTGGACATCCTTGGGGGGCTGCGCTCCACCTGCACCTACGTGGGAGCTGCCAAACTCAAGGAACTGAGCAAGAGAACGACGTTTATCCGGGTCACCCAGCAGCACAACGAGGTCTTCTCCTAGCCTAGACCTAGGGGGCTGGAGAGAGGGGTGGGGGAGAAGAGCACGAAGGGCAGCTCTTTTCCTTTGCTTTCTCCTCCATATTGTGTTAGCGGCAAACTTCCCTCTGTCAGAATGGCAGTGTCATAGCCATTCAAGGGCCTATGGCTGGGATTTGGAAGGGGAAGGTCATGCTGTTAACACAGTGCCATTGATTCAGAATGCAATAGCCTCATCTTTTATTGTTGTGCCTATTTTAGTTTTTAATCAACATTTCTTCACCTGTTTTTTTCCCCCTCTGAAAAATAGCTGCTGAAACCTCAATTAACAAGGAATWTGCTTGTGCAGACATGGCTATTAACGCCTACACACATTCACACATTCCTTTTTTTAAGACTGACCTATCAGCTACCACCTCTTTCTGGCAGTGCACCTCTCAGAAATTGCAGGCTGGGAGAGAARGAGATGCAAAGAATTGCATAGAGAAATTAAAAAAATTAAATTCTCCTAATCTTTTTCCTGGCCAAAGAGTGGATGTTGGGGCACAGCTGCCAGCCTGCAGAATGTCAGAGGTGGATGGTAGATGAGGCCTGGCTGCTGATGACATGTGATGCTAAAAATGCCAGATCTCTATCACACTTAGTTCACAGGGCTGGTATTGCTTTCTTACTTAAATATCCCTATTCAATGGGCTTGCCTTTTCAAATAAGCTGGCACTGAATGTATCAAAACTGTGCTGGCCCTCCTGCCCCCATCTGAGGAGATCACTCAGGTGAACACTTTTCAGAGCTTGCCTGCTTTTTCATGAGTGCAGTTAATKAATTACCTGAGTTCCTGCTTTTACCTGCTCTCTGGGAACAGGTTGTTAAGAAACTCAGCAACCGTAACCCTGACAAGGAGAGACGGTTCTTGCGGTTCTCCCTGTTCCCTTGCCTGCTCACGTCCATTTAGCAAAAAGACATAAAAATACTGTGCAGTGCATTGTCTGTAGCCAGGTGGAGGAGGCCAGAGGGATCAAATTGCCTTCTGGTTATGTGGTACCACTTATTTGCCGTCCTTGACACCATGTAAAGCAAGACAGAGCTTTTGGCAGAACAGTCTTGTCTGATTACAAGACACTGCCACGCTGGGATGGAGTTAAAGCATTTGCTCTWAAGGCAGTAATGAATGTTTGAGACTCTGGGTAACACTTCAGTAAAGTGTAATGGCCTGCTAATTAATTGATAAATCACAACAAAAATTTCTTTGGAAATACACATGGCATCCACATGAATACCATAGTAGCTCATTATGATAAATGATGTAAAAGTGAGCACCAATGAATTAGTAATGCTTGGCCACTTACTTTAAACCGCTGCTGAGATCATAATGTGGCTGATGTTACTTCAGTACTTCAGAGTTTTACTTCCCCTTCCTGTAGACATCTGTGGAAAGAAGCAGGCTTCCTTTGAAAAGCAAAAAAGTAATCTGTAGGAAAAGGAATAGTAAAGAGAGACTCTAGAATTAAAAGTCATAGGCTGGACTGCTGAAAGAGCCATGCATGAGGACTGGTACAATGGACCGCGCAGAGAAGCAAATCCAGGCCACAGGCTGATCCCTGGTGATTTTGAAGTGTGTTGTGCACATTAGAAAAAGCACAGGATATTTTTTAAATTGCCCARTATTTTAAATGTCTTCCATTTAACATGTAGGACATACTTCTTAATTGTGGGATGACCTCTTCTTCTGCTTTGGAAGTGGACAAGGGCCTTAATGTGAGCACAGGTCATGCTTGCACTGGCTGCAAGGACCATTTGTCCTGCCCACATATAATAAAGAAATGTGAATGCAGAAGGTCCCATGAATCCAGGCCCAGATCTCAGTTCCCTCCAGCCTGGAAGTCTCATTTTAAGAAAATGCCAGGCTTCTTTACACAAAAAGGCACTGCGAGCCACTACTGCTTTCACCTGCACTAGGCCCAGAGCATGGGCAGCAACCTCTCTGCATCAGTACAACTTTAGGACAGCGCTGTTCTTCTATTAATATGCTGTAAAGGGGAGGGGGGACAGAAGCAAATGGACACCTTTGTCAGGAGTGGGGTTAGACCACCAGGGCCCAGGCCTGACCACAGGTGTGTCTCCACACTGGTGCCTTCACATGTGGGAAGCGCAGCACTCTGCTGGTCCCATGCCCACTCTCGCTAGCGCTTTTCTACTTTTTTTAGCTACATTTCTAAGTGGAATTTAAGAAATACATAGGCATAGAAAAATATATGTATTTATAAACCTTTTTTTAAAAGATCATGCACACACCAAACCGAGCAGCTTTATTATACATCCTTAGAACAGTTTCTTTTCCAAAGGGCAGGTTCTGGGGCGCAAGGGGAAGCTGCCTCTTCACAAATGTGGCAAATGGGGCCACTCTTACACCTGCTTTCCTTCCCCTCCTGCACATACCTCTGATCACTGAATAATAGGACAGGGATAGGCTAATCTTAAATTGTACCCCAAATTCTTCAGGCTGTGAACGACATTGATGCCATGAATAGTGACTGATAAAGTTTTGACTTGAARTGTTTGGTTTTCTGAACAGCAGGTCTTACCATTGTTTTGATAAGCAGCATGTTTTCTTTTATTTTCTTCTTTCCAGAAGTGAGCAGGAGAAAGAAGTGAGATGCAGAAAGGCTGAACTGGTGGCATGTCTGCATCTCGCCTAGTTACATGTGAATTTTGTTCAGGAAAAACCCTCAGCTATGTCAGTGCTCACCAYTGACACTGTGCAGCTCTGAGACAGGCTGGAAAACTTAAAAAAAAAAATAAAAAGAGTTTGAGTCGTTCTTTTAACTCCTATTCCTGTGCTGCAGTAGCTGCCCTTATCTACACTTAGCTAGGTTAGCTCCAGGTCCTGTACCCTGCTCAAGCCTGCTGYCACTCCCACAAGGAACTGAGACAGGGAGCTGGGAACACACTTTGTTTTGCAGGATAGTGCAAGTCAAGACCACAACCACTGACAAATGCCATGTGCCATTTGTGGATCTACCTCACCTGCACGTCTAACTAGGTTCTTTGTTACTCAGTGTCCTGTAGGAAATGAAATTTGTAAGTACTTAATAATGCTTAATGTTGAGTGATTCTGCAAGACCAGGTCTTCTCTAAACCTACACCCCAACCCCATCCTGTGCAGAGGAATGCTGTGAGTGTGACAGCCTGTGCTGTAGGCTGAGGCCATTCCTGCTTCCCCCAGCCAGGCAATTGCTGAGCTCCCAAGCAATGTTGAGGTTCGGYCCACTAGCTTCACAGTGGTGCAGTTTAACATACCAAAGACCTACAAGTGGGGATGGTGAAAAGGATAACATGCATCATTAAAGCAATCCCTGCTGAGCATGTCTGCCTGTGGCTTCTTGAAGTACAAAGACACCTCTGACATCCCTGGCGCACACAGTCCTGCTCTGGGGTTGCCTTGCTGCAGCACGTTTTGCGCGGTGGGCTCCTGCCCACACAGCCTGGCTTAGTGGAACTTCCTTGGGAGGGAAGGGTTTGGCACAGGAGCAGCCTTGCTCTCTCCGCAGTGACTGTGGTTGCAAGGCSTGCATGTGGACACCTCTTTGTAGGTGTGAGGCCAGTTGTTCAAGGGTTGGGCCTTGGACCAGCATCCTGACAAGCAAAGCAAGGCATGCAGGTCTCTGTTCTCTGGACAAAATGCACTCCCATCTGCTCATTGGAACAGCCAGTCCCCGTGGGCCATGGGGGGCGGGGGCTTTCTTGGTGTGATTTTCTTCTCCAYTGGGGCATGGTGGGGTTGAATGTAGGATGGGGAAACCCTGTAAATATGGAGAGTTGTAAGCATTTGGGGGAGCTCTTTCCATACAAAATGTGCCTGTATCTTCCTTTCAGCTAGTCAGTAGCAGAGGTTTAAAGGATGGGGATAAGGAAGAAATGCAGCAGCTGTTGGCCAAGCCCACTGTGTTGGGACAGGKGCTTTCAGTCAAGGACACGATGAGAATTTGAAACTTTCCTGAACGAAGCACTCCCTACTTTATACCTATTGAACTCCACTTTTGTGACAGACTTGTTGTTACAGCTTTCTGCCAATGTATGTACAATGTCTATCCATCACCATCTCACATCGTCTTCAGGGGATGCTGCTGTTTAGTTGCTAATACCAGTTTGTACCAAAAATTCTTTTCTGGAGCCAGGAGGGCTTTTGCAACCAGTGTCAGATTTGGCCTTGTGTCAAAGAGAGGGGATAAAAAGAGCCAAGGCCCAAGATCAGTGGTTTGTCCTCCGCAGCAACCAGGGCCAGCAGGTGGGAGAGGGCCAGCCTTTCCCAGTGGACTGGGAGCTGCTGGGGGCAGGGGTGTCTTGAGTAGAGGCTGGCACAGCTCTGCACCCCTAACACAGGGTGGACCACTCCCAGCAGTCTTCCCTTCACTTGTGGTCACCCAGGTGCTTAAGTGAGCCCTCCCTAGCATGTGAGCCAGTGTTTACTGGCTGAAGTTTTCAGACATAAATCAGTAATTCAGAGTCCAGAACTCCCTGGCATTGCTTCTGATACCTGTGAAATGCTTCTGTGTAATTGGCCAAAAAGCTGATGAGCTTTCAGCATTTTGCTGCCCTGCTCGGCCCTGCTGAGATGGTGATGAGAGTGCTGCTCCCCTTCCCTCTGCTGTGGCATCCATGTGTGCATGGTGCAATCATCCAAACTGCTCTGAAATTTTTGTTATGCAATAAAGAGCTTCACCCTGACAGTCTGCAGAGCATTTTATGGCCAGTGGGTGGGAGGGTACGGGCACCTTTCTGCATCATCGTGAATAAAAGCAAGCGCTTTCAAATGCATTGCCAGGGTGGGGCTGGGGGAGGATGGGGCAGAGAATCAAATTGGGCAAATTATGTCCCTAGGAAAGCTCTCTCCCATTCAGTCATAAAAGACAAAACACGTGTTTGCAATTGGCACTGTTATTTTATTAGTACGAGTATACTGAAACAATAAACTTGTACTGGTATACAGACAATTTCTTTAAAACAATTTTGTTCAAATTTTGAATCAAACATTGTTTTATTATAATAATGAAATAATTTCTACCTAGAAAACCTGCAAGCACCATCAAAGAAAGGGACCATAAAATTCAATAAACAGACGCGAGTGTATCCTACAAATAGACACACCACCATTAGAAAATAGAATATGAATTCTTCCATTTTTTTTTTAATATTTGTTTTAAAAAAGCTAGTGCAAGTACAATATTTTACACTGGAATTACAGAGAGTATGCACGCGTATGGAAAAAAGTTCTCCTGTCACAATAAAAGCTCTTAACTATGTCTGTATGCACTTAAAATCTTCTCCTCTTTTCAATAAGGTGCAAAACGTTATTCCCTCCCTATTTCTCCTTTGTACTGGCCATGTCAGCTCAATTTCTCCCCAACACAAAGCTGCAATATCCCTTTTACTGGGCCTACACTAGGAACTACACTGGAAGTGTGATTTGCAACAACCCTCATTAGTAATACCAGACAATTAAAAAACAAAAAAAAGTTTAAAACTACTGATGTCAAATGGCTGGACCTGACCCTGGCTCGGCCAAGCGCTGCTGCCAGCTGCTGCCGGGAGTGGTGACATAGCTAGTACAAAATGGTTTTCAGTAGCTCACCCGCACTGAAAAAGGTTGGGAAATTCCCCCTCCCCCACTTTTGTAACACTGCGAAAAGAACAGTGTTCAACAAGTTAATACATTGTTAAAAAAAAAAAAAAAAGGAGCAAATACATACATTAGTGAGTTTCAACATTAGCTGACTGTTGTGAAGAGTTGCGTCTATGCCTTACCAGATTAGTAACTCTGTGAAGTGCCTAGCCTGACAGCCAGGCCAAAGACATAGACTGAGCCACCTGCAGCCACCCCCAGCCCATTTTTACCCTCAGCTGCCCAGATCCAAACCCGATGGACTGGGCAAGAATTCTGCAGTGTGTTCAATGGGAGAGCACCTGGGCCATGGATTTTTAAAGCAAATGCCAGGGTGGGATCCCCTCACCAGAGGGTGCGAAGGGGCAGAGCTGTGCTGCCCGCGGAGCCAGTGGTCCCACCTGGCTCCACCCTGACCGAGGATCTGGGCCCTGAAGTTTCTGCCCATCACCAATCCCATAGTACAGCAAGGATGGCTTTAACAAGTGACCCTGCTCACTGTAAACAGCACTTCCAATGCACACCTACTGTGTGGTCGAGGRAAAGGGCACAGGGGCTTTAACTGCTCAAAATAGAAACTAACAGAAAACCTTGGATGAAGCCTCCATAAAATCCTCATTGGAAGACTTGAGTCCTTTCAGCTAACAAGAAGAAAAAAACCTACCGAAACGTTAGAGACTGTTATTGTATAAATACTACCTGTTGGCTGAATGCACTTCACCATAACACAACTGGGGCTGTTTTCTGAGTGCCCAGGGGTCACTTGCATAGGGCAAGCATTCCTGCCCTTTGTGCCCGTGGGAGCCAAAGCTTGGGTCACTTCTGGGGAGGGGGATGGGAGCAGCCTGAAACTTTGCCCTCTCCACCCTGCCACCAGCTCCCAGCTGCCCATCTCAATCTTTGGACAGGAAAAGGATCCTCTCTTCAGACACTGCTTCTGGATCCTCTCCTTTTGGCTTCTGAAAAACATCAATCTTGCCATTGGTCAAGACATTGGAAACGTGCTCTGTGTGACCAGCTGCTCCCAGCGGCTCTGACAGCAGCAGTGGGGGAGAGGGGCAGTGACAGGGGCTGGAAGGCCAGGTCGCCTTGGGTACCATTCTGCTGCTAGTGCTCGGCTAGGATCCCTTGTTACAAGCACTTCTCACTCAGGGTTATACTCTTTGGATTTCATCTGGAACAGGAAGTGCTGAAAAAACATGAAACAGCATCCCCAGAGAGAGAAAAAAAAACGTGACCAAAAGGCCTCAGGCAGGAACTATGCAGGCTGTGCTCAGCCAGCAGCAGCTCTTGACCCGAGGGCTGCCAGCCCCAGCAGGCTCCCCACAATGGGGCCGGCCAGGCCGTGCCCACTGGGGACACTGCCAAGGCCTCTCTCCAAACCAGCCTTGACCTCTGGGCTGCCAGGGTCTCCCTCAGCACAGGCAGAAGAGATTTAAAGCCAAAATACAGCCGGAGAGTGAGACTCTAGTTTTGCACAGTAGCCACCCTTTGAAGCGCCTGGTAGCTGCACTCAAGAATGTATACCCAAGGTGTATTTTCAGCACAGGGATTAACAGTGTGACTCCATTCCCTAGAAATGGGACCCATGTAATACGAACAGAAAATTAAGCACAGTTGTTCTTTAAGAGCCTTTTAAGTAATAATTCTTCCTGGCCAGAGCCAATACAAATCAGATCATCTAGACATGACATTTTCTATATACAAAAAACATGTAACTTCCAACCTTTCTCTGCTTTTGTATTTAAAAACTTTTTTTTTTTTACAAACAAGGTATGAAACTCACTGTTCAAACAGAGCCATCTCTTTTTCAAACACTGAATGAATCATTCCAACATTCATTTTTCTTTTGTGCAATTTTTTAAAACATTACCTGTACTCCTCAATGTGAGTGCTTCAAAAAAAGTTTCTATTTTTAATAAGCTTCTCAAATTAGGTTTACATCAAAAAATATTCCCACAAGGTATAGTGCTACAAGAAAAGATCCTATCAGTAAAGGTAACACATCTGAAGCGAGGTCGTCTATGTAAAAGAAATTGAACTCTGGAGTAGAGGTGTGCAATGCGTTTGGAATTTCCCTAYGGGCACAAAGCAAGGCTGTCCTCAGGACAGGGAATCAAGTGGACATGTAGGCATACACATAAAATAAAAATGCACACGTACTTCTTTGTCTGCAAACAGACACTTCTGCCTGGAGGTGTGTGCATATATGCATATCTGCATCAACAATTTCTCATTTTGCTATTACAGGATTTGGGGGAGTGGGAGGTTTGGAAAAACCAGAGGAAAGGAAATTACTGCCTCTACTCTGGCGGTACGTTCATTCCCCTTGCTTTTCACATCAGCACTGACCAGAGCCCACAGTGGACTCTGCTGCTACCTGTGATGATGGGGAGGGAAGAAATGGAAACAGTATGAGTGCATGTCGCATTCTGCCATTTGTCAAGTTTCTGGGACAGCAGAAGTGTTTCAATGGGCCAAATCCCCTCCACCTGCCCAGGGCTTCTGCCCTGGCAAACCCTGAGATTTTTTCAGGTGCCTGATTAAGGTCAGGATCTGGCCCTGACTGAACCATGCTTCAATTTCACAAAGATTTATACATGTGCTTTACAGCAAGCCCCGGAGCATCCTTTRCTGGGCAGCCCAGACCTCCCATGGGCACATGTATAAATGTTTGCAGAACTGGGTCCCACTACATGCAGAGCACAGCGCCAAGAGCTACTCTGAAATAACACTATTAGTGTTTAAAAAGATTGAGAATTCACTCTCCTTGACACAGGCTTTTTTTCTTTTTAAGCAGTTGCAAGAATTAACAGAATTTCACCATTTCCTTTTTACTACTGGCAACACACTTTAAAGTAACATAAATCTCTTAAGAGAGCGTATTTTGATGATAATCAACAGCTACAGTTCATGCTGAGCCTGCTGCTTTTGTATTGCAATCTAAGTAAAATCTACAAAGTTTAAACCATGAGATGCAGGAAATCCAAACTTGTCTGTAACATTGTACATCCCTACTCCGGAGCAGTAAAAGTGCTGCTTCTGGTCACATCAGTGTACCACACATACGCCACCCCCATCCCTGAGTAAAAGGTGTGAAAGGTTTCTAAATGTTCCTTGATTAAGGGAAATGAGAGTAGTGATGTCACTTCCTCATGCCGAGAAAATGACAGGAACGACAGGTCGAACAAAGGGACAAAGGGACGAAGGAATTAAAGGAATGAAAAAAGGAAAAAGGAACGTGTGTCCCTCCCCTCCTCCCGAGGTCTGCATCTTCAAGGGAAAGCAAGCTTAAGGGCAAGGTACAAAACGGTAAAATAGGTCAACAGCGACTCCGATTCGGGTCTCGACCAGAGGACTCGAGGTAAGTGACATCAAACTCAAATTCCCCACGATGTGGCCCAGACAAACTGAAACAATGCCTAAGTTAAATGCTATAAGGAACAGTCACTTTATATATATAGATATATAGACAGATAGATAGATAGATAGATAGATAGATAGATAGATAGATAGATAGATAGATAGATAGATAGATAGATAGATAGACAGACAGAGTTTTTTTTTTTAGAAATCCCTATAAAGAGGTTCTTGTTTTATTTTTCTTTGCCCTGACTAATTTCTTGGTGATTGTATGCATTTCATTGTAAACTAAAGAGGCCTGCTACAAAAAGAAAGAAACAGACAAAAAGAAAACTACTGTTAGTTACTATTGCAAAGTGGCCRCCACACAGAAGCAGAGGCCGAGCCTCCTCCTTTGACTTCACCTCAGCATCCCTGCACTTGCCGTGGTATTTTGCACCTGCCCTGGGATCGATGGCACTCCTGGGCCTGGGGACACACTGCAAGGGATGCTCAGTGCCAGAGGGAGAGGCAAGGCCATGCCTTGCAAAGGGCTTGGCTCCAGTGGGAGCCAGCTCCTGTGTGCATGTGTCCAGGCAGAAGGTGGCATTCAGCCATATGCCACCCTCTGCCTGGACGCCATGTAGACATGAACACATCTTTTTTTTTTTTTTTATTTCTTCCTGGATCTTTTTAAACATCAAATACAAAAGCGGTTCATGTTTCCCAGGGCAAGGGATCTTCTACCTTTAATATGMTGTGGGTTTTTTGGACAGGGAAGGACAGGGAGGGACTTATTAACTGGGTGGGGTGGGGGGAAAAGGTAGAAAGAATTCAAAAGAGGCAAAACCAGGGGAAATCAGAAGTGGGTATGAGATCTAGCTAACACTGCACAGGTGAGTCTAAGTTGGCACATAAAGTATTGCACATCCTACAAAAGCCAAAGCATGGAAGGGATAATTGTTTGGAAAGAACCAGTTATTTCAGAATTCCTCAGTCTGAAATACAAGCACAGAACTAATACATTCCTATTGCTCCAAATGCTTTTTTTTTTTTTTCTAGTGTTAGTTGAACAGATCCAGTCAGTTTAATAGCCCCTGCTTCCTTATTAATGACAAATGTRTATGCGTGTGGTTTTACTTGAGATTTCTTTTTTTCCAAGTACATGTGAAGTACATAAATAGTGGTACAACTGTGAACTAAAATCTGTAATTCTTTCTATTCCTTTACCATCAAAGCATTAAAAAAAACAAAACAGGAAACAAAACAAAACAATAAATTGCAAGTGCCCTGAGCAGAGTATATGGAAGATTAAGCAACTTCTCTGAGCAGAAATATTAACAAATAAGCACTAACTAAGCTGTGTGATTGTGAGAAGAAACCCACTCAGCTATTTGGTAGCCTGCCGAGAGGTTAAAAAATTCAAGGAAATTCAAAAAAAGTTTCAAGCTATTTGAAACATATTTCAACTTTTTGGTGCACCCCAGAGTATGGTATAAAAACAATTAGGTCTGGTGTGAGCTAAATTTCAAGTAACAAGTAACAAGAGTCAAAGATGGGGTTTGGGGTTAACATTTCTTCTTTTAAAGAAAAGCTCTGTATTTCAGGGGAGAGGAAAAACAAGACTTTAAATAAATTTGTTCACTTTAGGGTTACCATGTTTCTAATGACAGACTTTGATTTCCTGTTCCCCCTGTGAGTACAGCTTCTTCAAAACTACCTGAAGGATGTGAACTCGCCAACTGAAAATGACGACATGAACACTTGCTCACGGAGGGCCCAAGCGCGATCCCACTGAAATCCCACCGGGACCTTTCTAGAGGCAGTGACAGGCTTTAGCATTCAGCCCCGACATACTTCATACTCGCACCTCCCCGAGGCTCATACAGGAGGCTGGGTGCACAGCACCACAGAGGATCCGGCCCTACCTGGGGAAAGAAAAGACTGAACGTGTGAATCCCCCCCGCTCCTACTTGGTTTGTACCAAACTCTTGAAATGTCGYCTTTCCAATGGAAAATTATGTMATTAAAATAAMAAATAATAATAATAATAATAAAATAACAATAGGCTTGTTTTCAAAACAAACAAACACCTTGCTTACTTATAGAAATTTTTTTTGTGGAAAACTCTCTCAGCAAGTCTGAAGAAAAATTCTCAGAAGTGTCCCAGTAGGACCTGGTTCTGTGTGGCCGATACGGTAGAAAGACCAAAAATTAACTCTGAAAGGAAAGTAACCCTATGAAATGGCCTAGAGTGTAGGCAGATTAGTGAGTAATTGCTACATTTGTTTATGCTCTTTCAGACCCCCCCCACCCCACAACATTATTAGGTAAAAACTGCAGGAATACCACACAAATGATAAACTCAAGATGTGCAAATTGCAAGATTCTTTAAAGTCCATCTTTTTCAAAAACACTGGACAATTATTTTTTTCTCTTTCCTTTTTCCTTTCTCTTATGCTTTTTTAAATTATGTCAGCTCGCATATGCCTTATACTCTTTCTCAAGCATTAAAGTTTAAAAAGTGCCTCCTATTAAGTAGTCCTTTGTGGACAATGACTGTCACATACTAGTTCAATAATTCACATTCATCCCTTTGAAACCACATTAAAACTTTCAGTATCTTGCCTGTGAGAAAACTTTACATAGTTGCATGTAGTTGCAGTGTTGAAGAGATTTGTTTGTTTGTTGTTGCTTTCCGAGCAGATTAAAGTGATATACAGTACGTATCGAGTGATACGTTAGACCAGGATGCTCAGCAATAAAGTGTGAACAGCATTTTAAGTGCTTAAAGACATTCTAGGTTCATCTTCAACAGCGGATTCCTGTGTCACACACCGCAATTTGAAAAAAGTGGCACCAGTTGTCTATAACCATGAACTAAAACCTGTACTAGAGTTAAAGACAAGGATTTGCAACCTAACCGCGAACAATGGATGCCTGTGATCTCAAAGGGGCAGTCTGCGTCTACCTTGTGGAAGCAAATGTCAATGGCGTAACCTGGTCGATTTGTCTAACACTGCACAGAAACAGGAGTGAGCCTGAGCCAGGYGCATCTGCAGAGCCAGAGGCCTCCTCACACACCCACGCACACCCACGCCACACGCACGCACCCACCCACCCCCACCGGCAAGGAAAACCCTGCAGGGCGACCGGCACARGAGTCTGTACAGTCTCCCTCGCTGACTCCGGGTAATGGAACTGCACTAGCAAGCAGAAAGGAAATGTGGTGTGGCAGTTTGCTTTAGGAGTAAAAATCAGTGCAGTCAGACCCCATGGGGGAAAAATATATATATACATATACACACACAGAAATATATATATATATATATATACACATATATATATATATATATATATATATATAGTAGAGCCTTGAGTAAGAGTCGGCTTGTTGTTGAAAACAGAGACTGTCGGATCCTTTTCAGTAACAGACCCAAGGGTTGTGTCCTCAGCATCCACCTGGGGCGAGGAAATCTCTTCACCAACCTTTCAGAGAGAGGCCATCCTGCCCCGGGGGTTGGCACGCACTCTAACACGCACACGCACAGGCACGCACCCCATGTTTGACACACACCTCTGCTACAGTTCCCTTCTCCTCACCTTCCCCCAAAAAAACTAGAACAGGACCAAAACAGCAAAACAAACACAAAAAAACAGCGACTGAAAGAAAACAAAATCACAGCTGGACCCTGTCCTACATGAGGTGTTAGAAAACAGGAGCCATGACAACACATTCATTTCCACTAAGGGTGTGTGAAGCAGATACTGCCCCTTCTGTAGCTCTTGATAAACCTAGTCACTGACAAACACTTGTGGAAAAACATATGCACCAGTCTCCTGCATAATACCAGCTGCAACTATAACAACAAGGTTATAACATAAACCTAAAATAAGATGATAACATGTAAATACTGGGTTATTTAGTCTACAGTACAGTAATCTGGATAAAAGTGACAAAGGATAGCCTAATTTCCTTTCCCCAAACAACTTTCACTTTCCTACGTTGGATCGACCTTCAATGCAAATCTTAACCTCCTGAGGAATAAAAGAAGGCTTGGGAAGAGTCAAAGGTGGCTCCTCTTCTGATTTCTCTAGTTTTCGTGTTTCGGGGGCTGACCACCTCCTCTTCCTCGTTGCTGGGGGCTTGCTGGGTTCTGTTTTGGTGAGCAAAGGTGCTGCAGGCAATCCTATTTTGTCCGGAAACTTCAGTTCACCATTCTCAGCTAACATCTGTGCGCTTCCCTGATTAATCCCGTTTTCCTGCTCCGCATACCTGTGTCTACTTCCAGCTAGACTGTCATTCTTTGAATGCTTCAGCAAGATACTAGCTGAGTCCATGGGCTGGCCCTTTTTAATAGAGCCGTTCTTCAGGTTCTTGAGCGTGAGCGATATGCAGACGTCCCCCACAGAGAGTTTGGAGCATGGCAAATCAAAGAGCTGGCTGGTTCTTTCAGGGCAGCAGGATGACCAGCCTTGTCCAAATACAAAAAAAGGGTATTCCACCAAGACTTCCACGCTGACCTGCAGAAAGAGAGGGGACAACACAGGGAGACAAAGGGAGAGAGAGAGTAGAGCATGTGATCACTCCATGTGCCCTCACATATGTGCAGTGCTTGCCACAGTGGGAGGGACAAAGCTGGAATAGTAAAGGCAATGTTCRATTTCTGCAAAACCAGAGCACTGGTCACCAGACTCCACACCTGCCCTTGTTATCCAGCTTTAATGTTTACTCTGAGCTCAGCATTTCATAGCATAAACCTCAGCAGGAATCAAGCTTTACCTTTATCTAGCCACTCAGACAGGCATAAAACAACTTTGGTGTCTGGCAAACTTTCCCACCATCCCTTTGTGGTACACAAAGACCCTTTCCAACCAGAGGATGGCTCAAGAGAAGCTCTCTATTTCCTAAATGATCACAGGAATGTCATCCTGACCTCTGCCCGAAYAAGTGTTCACTTACCAGCGTGAAAGGATGAAAGCACTCTGATTGCCAGGGGAAGGCCATGAGTGGCTACAGAGTTGTAGCCATAAGAGCAACAAGGGCTGCCTTCCCCAGAAGTCCTGTTACCAGTCCAGCTGCTTCCCTTCTCATACCTGGTCTTCCACTCCACTGCAGTTTGTCTCCTGCACTTCCTTGGGGAGAGGGTCATTCCTCTTTCTGCTGCAGCTCCTATACCATGTCTCCTTTTCTGTACCACGTCCCCTTTTCCACCTGCTTCATCCCGCTTTACAGACACATCTGGTTAGGAATCCTACCTAACCATCTTACAGGGAGCTGCCATAGTCAGAACARACCAACAACAGGTGCCCCTGGCTCCTTGACCTTGAGGTCCCAACAYGATAAAACACCTAAATACTCACTTATCTTTGCGTGTAATAGCAGTCCAGCAYTCACTGCAGGCTCAAAGACTTGATGTGGACTCATGTGATTCTCAGCCCATGGGGCTGATTCCCTCCCTCCCCAGCACACTACAAAGAGAGCAGGAAATTCAGATAATAAATTCTAATACTTCTTTAAAACTTGGCACGTGTGTTTTTAACTGCTGTGTGTCACACCAATGAGGTCTGCCACTGCAAGGGGCTGGAGACAGATACTGYTCTGCTCCCAAGGTCCTCATGTCCTCTGCAGCTCTTCTCAGGCATGGGGGCAGGATCCCACTCTGATGGTGTAAGCCTGATTTRGTAGGGGCAAAAGGGTAGGAGAGCCCCTGAATACATGTGCTCACCTCATTTGTGAGCTATTCAGCAGGCATAGAGTATACCAGCTGCCTGGAGAGCCTCCCCTCTCCAGGAACATGGACTCACTCAAAAGGAACATCACAGCAGGCTTGTGAAACCACCCTTTTCCTCTGGGAAGGACTAATGCTGTCATACCCAGAATGGCTTCGTGTCATTAAAAATGCATTTCAACACAGAAGCACTTTGAGACTCTCACTGCACTCCAGTGTTACAACACCCTTGTTCACAATATYAGGCATGACCTTTGAGATGAAGTTGCACATTGTGTCTCACAGAAGAGGCTGGACTCTATGGAAGTACAGCCCCCAGCAGTCCTGACACTTCCCTGCTAGCGCTGCTATCTCAGAGCTGCCTTCCCTGCAAGAAGGGCCCCCTGTAGTGCCCCTCACATCCCACCAGCTCCACAGCCCTTTTGGACAAGAAGACTTGCTCAGAAATATTCTACAGCTCAGAGACAGAGGCTCCAGAACCAGGAAACCAACAAATCCCAWGGGATGTTGATGGTGCCTCTGACTGGTTTAGTGCATGTCATGCACTAGCAGCCAATTGCAGTTTATGAGATCGTTGAATCTGTTGGAAAAAGCCTTATTGAGTCTATAAATGTGCACTGTGTACTTCTGCAACTAGGCCAGTGGATAACACTGCATCTATTAGCCTGCCACTCCACCTGCCCAACATAGTAAAACCACTGTACAAGGAATTTCAGAAGGAGTAGTTTAGAGGTGTAAGATACTACATCGATTTTCATCATATTAAGCCTTTTCCAATTGGAACTATTTGCCAACAGTCAAACTACACACATGGAAACAGTGGAAAAGGATCTGACTCTAGCCCTGGTTTAAGCCTTGAACTGTGGAGAAAGGGGGCTGAGGTAGCCATGAAAGTTCCTCCCTTCATGTGGCTGCACAGAAACACTACAGCACCAGGATCTGCAGAAATATTTGCCCAGAGTTTGAGATCCTATTCCATACATATGCATCCCAGTCTAACTGGAGTCTAACTGGGAGAAGTACTGCGAATACAGCATCTCCCCTGGACTTAAATGGAACCTGCTGTCTGCACAAAAGTTGTAGGCTTTCTCCAGGCATAGATCATCTGGTGGACACAGATTTCTCCTTTATATTGCTTTTTCTTGCCTCTTTCTTTCTTCCTGCTTGCTGCATTTTCTTTCTTTCTTTCTTTCTCTACTTTTACATCCTCGTCAAAAGTTATTTGTACCAGTGGGAATCAAACTTGCTTGTGTGCATCATCCTCACTTACACAAGTTTCTCTTGATGTGAACACACTTCTGCCAGACCTTATGCTTTTTTTTTTTTTTTTTTTTTTTTTTTTTTTTTTTTTTTTTTTTTTTAATGAAGCATCCACTTGCCTGAAGTCCTGATCACTGAAACAAATGCCAGAATTGGTGGTGGTGATCATTAATAACACCAAAGATAGTGGAATAATGGAATTTCCATGACCTGGTCACACTGTGCATGTACCACTATTGATTTGAAATGGGTTCCCACATAGATTATCAAGCCCTGTTTCAGCTGGCTGCTTCCGGATTCAGCTAAGGAGGGATTTGACCATCCTCTACAAGCAATAGTAGCGCAAGACCTGTAAAGTGTGAAAGTTCAGTAAGAACACCCCCATAAAYTTTTTTCTGACTACTGCATTAAAACAAACTAAAAAATATCTCATTTTAAAAGCCTCCCCCATGCCTCCCCGGTATCTTGCCTTGACAATTGCAGGAGAAAAGAAAATTTGGAACTTCTCTATTACTAAGAGGATAAAGCAAGAAACAAACATGCTGGTTCCTCTAGAAGCACACTGGGGCTCTACTGCAAGCTACATTTATGTTTCTTTTTGTTAACACTGACTAGTGAAAACACCTAAAACTCTTCAGGGCAGCCACTGAAATCCATAACTTTCTATAACCCTTTGTAATTTTATTTCTCAGCCAAATTCAGCAGGCATGACAGGCTTAAGTCAGTTTAAGAAACCCCAGCTGGAGCTGGATACAGATACTAGGGGCTGGCAGATCTGATGCCCAGGAAACACCCTTCCCGTCATTTAGAAACATAACAAGTCTTGGGCCTCACTGCTGCAACCAAAATAACAAGCACTAAAGCAAAAGGTGCCTAATGAAAGTGATTAATGTGAACCATATTGTTATAAAAGTAAACATACATTTTCCAATTAAGTGTTTTTCTCCATAATACTATTAAAATGTGATGAAACTAGGAGTGGCAGGCTGGAAACAAAGAGAGAGAAGCAGTTCTGGAAACAATGTGCAATTAAGCAGCAGAGCTCTCCACTGAAGGCCTTCCTGTGGGTGCTGAAAGACTCTTCAGGCCCAAAAAACAACTGGATGGATTAAAAAAATAAAAATTCCCCTCACAGAGAGAATGCTCCCACACAACCTCCCCTATTCAGAAACTCTGGGACAGCTAATGGTCCCCCTGCACTCTGCTGCCTTAACAAGAGTGGATTTCCTCTAAGAGATTTCTGGGGCTGTAGCAGCACCTCGTGCCATGGGAACCACTCTCCACAACACAGTCTGACTGGGTACCCCTCCAGGGCTGCACGTACCCCAGTTCAGTCCACTGTTACTGCAGCAAAGGCAGTCAGGGCTGGAGCGTCAGGGGCTGCTGCTCTCTGCAGTCACGCAATCCCGTAATTTCTCAAGAGAAGCCACCTCCTGYCCAGCAGACCACAGGCTGCTGACTTTACCACATGAGCTTTGTCATCTGCTGCGCTCCCAGAACACAGTAATGTGAGGAGAGACCACAGCCACCCCTCACTTGGAGACACAAGGACTTACTGTCCCACGACCAGGAGAAACAGAGATCACATGAGGGGCAGGCTGGGAGAGATCTCCATCTGCAGCAGTGAACTGAGTCAATATGTCTGTGTCTGTTATGGTACCAAAGATAATGAAAAGGGAAACTCAAACRAAAGCAACCAGTTTTTGTGTGCATGGGAAAATGTACAGGGGAAACTAAACTAGATGATGGTCTAAAAACATACGCACTAAACTAAACTAGTCAGGGCTACTAACTGAATGCTCTAATGGGACTTCTCCATCTCTACTGATTATGATTCTGGTTTGTTTTTTGGTTAATAAATAAAAAAGGAAAATTAAAAACTGTATGCTCATTTTCTTCAATTGAATCTATACTTTAGAAATTATTAGGAACTGAAATGCAGCATTTCAGAGAACTTATTTTGCATAGCCTGTGTGCTTTAACTTTAACATCAAGGGAGGTGAATTACTGGCTTCTGTGTTCTCCCCGGCAGCAAATGGACAGGCGGGTAATAACAATGAAAGTCTTATGACAASAATAATATGTGGAATTGCAAAGAGATGTAGATTCACAGCTCTTCTCTTCCAAGYACCTTGAATGCAGAGGAGTAGCAGCTGGGCTTTGGGTTCTGGCCCAGTTGATACTTACTTGACTTCTTAATCCAGAGCAGGGATGTTGTGAAAGGGAAACCTARCATCTTTCCAGGGCTAAGGCCAGTTTTTTCAGTTATTAAGGCCTCTAGRTGCATTGATTTTCCTCTAGGTTTTCATACCTGGAAGAGGGATGGATTTTCCTGGTGACTGGAGGACTGACAAAGGAGAGAACATGACCTCTTTCTGCCTAAGTGCCATGCTAGGGAAGGGCCAACTGTGAGCTTGCAGTGACACAATACAACAGCAGCTGCACGGTGCCTCCCTGTTTACATTACAATGGTATATGCTCAGCTCCTACCTCTGCCTCTCAATTGGTGAGAAAATTAGCTAATGCTTCCACAGAGCCTGAAAATACAGATTCATCAATATTATAATGACTTCCCAGAGATCCCTGAGAGGAATTGTAAGTGAGCCAAAGCTAATGATAACAACACTATTTTTGTATGGCACTTACTCTTTACAACTTACACTCCCTTGGTAACACCACTGCAAGAGCTCCCTCCTTGCAGAAGCATGTATGCAACCGAAACTCAATTGTAATGAAATACTTTGTGAAGCTGCACTACACACACAGATCTATCCCCGAGCACTCTGGATTAAAGAGCTCTATTTCAACGCTGCAGCACCACAGTGCCAGTGCTCTTTCAATAAAAAGACTGAGCCTCCTCACACGGGCAATATTCTAAGGAGTGATGACTGCTGCACACCTGCAAACACTTCTAGAGAGCCACGGTGGGCTGAGGGTGAGGTCACAGAGACTTCTAACATGTAGAAACACTCTCTATCCTTCTCTCTCCCTGCTCCAAGGCAAAGGAAAACCAGCAGTCATCCCTGCTATGCAGGGACACAGCTGATCTGGGAAGAGACCCAAGTCCTGGAATCTGCAGGAAACCTAAATTAAACCCCCATTTCTAATCATATCTCTACATGACTCGCCCTCCATTCTGGAAGCATCCCCGGTGGAAAATACAGCTGGGGAGTATTTTGGCTGCGATGATGTCAGCCTGTTCCCGAYAGGCTTCTCTGTAAGGTGACACTTTGCTGGGTGAGACCCGTGTGCCAGGGCCTGGATTTGCACGGCCTCGGACTCGCCTCCTTTCTACCGGAGGATGGCACTCCACCCCSTGCAAAGGCGCAGCTCTTCCCAGGACTACAGCCCATTGCCTGCGTTGAAAAGATCTGTGACAGAAACACGACCCAAACACCACCTGCTAATTTGTACCTCTTCTGCTGTGCAGAGACCGGTGGCCTGGCTGCAGGCAGAGAAATGTGAGCAAGATGAAAAATGCAGAATGGAGATTGCTACTTTTGAAATCTCATTATTCAAGGCACCACGGCAAATTATAGTAACTGATCCTGATCCAAGGACAGCTCCTCTAACCAGGACTTGCCTGAGATGCGCCAAGATAYAGTTAAGCAGTGGGGAAAATAAATTGAGTCTCTACAATAAAAGCACCAGAGGGCTGATTTCTATCAGCTGTGCAGATGCAGCCACATACATGAACAAACCCACACAGGGAAKCTGCGTATTTGACCTAAGAAAGAAGACATGCCACATGGAGTGATTTACCAYGCATGTCCACCTGGGGAAGGATGTGCCACAGACTGCTCACACTGTAGGGAATTTTCTGTGTGATCTGCTCCTCAGTACCATCACTGCTGGATTTTCTCCTCCAAACCATCGGATTTCAGGTGTGTTACTACCTGTGTCTGTGTCCAGCTCCTCTCATTCTTCCTCTCTCACTATGCTTCTCTAGTGCTGAGGCTGCATCATCAGTGGTACAGATGCTGCAGTTCACAGCACTCACACCAAACCAAAAAGATTTGCGACATGACTATCTAAACTGAGTACCTCCAGGAAGCAAAATGCTACACAACACATCTGAACTTCCCAGCATCAACCAACAGAATCTAAATTGCTCAGAAAATGGACAGCATCAGGATAATGCTTTAAAATCAATATGCACTCATTCTTAACCTAAAAACACCTCTGGAAAGTTACAGGTTTTCTTTCAGCTTTGCAAACAGAGAAACGAAGGTCAGAAGCACAGCCTGCCCAGACACCTAGATGTTTTTTCCTTCCACATTTCACTTGACCAAAGAGTTTATGTGAGCTGTACAGTCTTAAAACCACCTTCAAGCAAAGCCTCAGTAAAACTCTGTAGTGCATTTCAGTGACTTACGTGTGTGAGAAACATCCCCAGGCAGCTCCAACTTCTCCAGCCATGGAAATTCACTGCCTTGTGCCCTACCTATCTCTTTAGGGTAGGTTTTGATCTAATTCTAACATGACCTTTCTGGTGTGAACAAGAAAAATCACCTATCAAAATGAAAAATGTAACCTTTCATATTCCTTACATCATCTTGTATTTTAATCAAAACCCACAAAAATCATGTAAGTCTTCCTGTGAYTTCTCCAGCTATAAAAGAGAGCCATTTTATACCCAAGAGTCTACATTTATCACCAGTGTGACCCTGATGGTTCCCACAGCACAGTGAGAGGGATGATTTTTGGTCTGCAGTTTGACTCATGGAAAGATGAAGAACCACCCCCGAGTGGATCCGAAGCGAGTATGCTGTGCTGTGGCCTGGGGGGGTCACAGGACACACCCCAGTCCAACCCCAGCCCACCACGCATTGCCATTACCTGTGCTCGATGTTCCCCCACCGCAAACTGTATGACGGCAATGCCTGGGCTATGGCTGTCTTCAATCCTCTCCACCGTGCTGGAGTCTATTTTCAGGTCGTTGCTGATTTCCGCACTCTGTATGAAGTCTTCTGTTTTCAAGTCCTCTACTTTCTTCAGCTCTCCATTGGCCAGCTGGATGATCGACCCCTTCATGAAGTACGGGGGCAGTGTGGGGGGCGCGGCAGCAGGGGAGGCAATGGACTGCACCACGGGCAGGTGGATCTGTGCCTGCACCATGGTGGCCTGGTAGGYGGGCTGGGTGGTGAGGGGCTCCGCGCTGAAGTTCTCGCTCTTGGGGACAGCGGTGGTGACGAACGTGTGAGGCACTGCTGCAAACTGAGGAGACGATGTGACAATCACAGGCGCGACTCCTGACGGCTCGACATCCGCGCTGCCGACCGGTATCAGCAGGGACTGCGCACCTGGGATCACCAGGTGCTGCGGCAGGCTGCCGGGGTAGCCGATGGCTTGCTGCTGGCCACTCAGGTAGCCAATYACCGGCGGCTGAGTCCCGGTGTAGAACGCCGTTGCCGGCAGCCCCACGGGGAGCTGCTCGGAGGCGCTGTGGGTGGTCTGAATGACAGTATGAGGGGACAGCGTGGCCACCGCCTTCACCCCCTCGTGGCCCAGAGCCTGCTGTGGTGACAAGGCATAGGACCGGTGGGTTGGCTTTCCTAAGTGCAAACTTCCCTTGTCGTTGAGGACTGAAGGAGAGGTCTCGCGGTTGGTGGCCTGCTGCACCTCCATGTCTGCCGTGGGCGTGCTGCTGTTGGGGACCACCATGACGGAGGCTCGGACACCTGAGGAATCCCGCACGCCATACTCRGCGGGGCTCGAGTGGACTACCACGTGCCTGGTCTCATAATGATGGGGAGCTGGTTTATTGCCTGCTTTGACTAGACCCATGTCGGCAGAAGGCGAAATGCCATACCTGCGGCTCTTCTCTATCTCGCCRTTCAGTACCTCCTTGGCCTGCATCACGGGCAGCCGGCTGCTCTCGGGTTTCTTGGGGGGATCCCTGGTGACAAAGTGACCCCCCGAGTCRGTGTACTGCACCACCACTTGGGAGGAAGGGCCGAGGGTGAGGGTGTGTGGGATCACTGTCTGATGYGGGTGCAGGGGGACGGGGATGGTCGGAGGAGAGACATTTCTGACAGTGCTCTGGGAAGAGCTGGAAATGTGGACGTACTGGTTCTGCTGGGTGGGTGGAGGAGACCCGGCAGCGATCAGTCCAGGCGTCCTGACCAGGTGCGGCTCAACTTTGTGCCCCTGCTGGCTCAAGCCGCTCATGCTGGCCAGCAAAGTGGAATAAGCCTCCAGCTGGGAGCGCTGGGATGGAGTGGTTGCAACAGCTGTGGCCGCTGCCACGGTGCCAGTCGCAGAATTGGCTGTTGGGGAAATCAGCTGCGAGGGGATGAATCCGGTGTACGATCCGCTGTACTGGGGCCCGACGAACTGGAAGGTGTGCTGCAGGTGAGTGTACTGCACAGGGGAAATGGGGGTCCCTGACTGGGAGAGGGCGGGCGAATACACCGTGGGAAGAGTAGTAGAGGCYGGAACGGACCTGGGCGCGCTCGGTGGGGAATAGTCCAGCCCTGTGGACAGTGACTTGTGCAAACCCTGCTGCAAGCCCGCTTCCACCGAGGAGGTGCCCCCGGGCCGGTGCCGGCCCCCCAGGCCACTCTGGCCACTGGGCGCGCTGGGGAGCCATGCCAGGTTATCTGCACGGTGGTTTTCATTTGGCAGGACCGGCTTCACCTCTGAAGGCAGGCTGGTGGCGGGGATTTCTCGCTTCTTAGGTGGCAGGCATTCATTGCTCCGCTCTTGGTTAGATTTCATCTTTCGCCGTCCCCCGTCCACTGTGCTTGCTTCACTGTCTGGCTGGCTCTGATTTCAGTCTGATAAACGGAAAGTCACATTTGATTTCTGCAGGGGATCCAGTGACTTCATGAGGAATCATCTCCCTGTGAGCACGATTCTCCGACAGCTCCTCTGGATTCTGCAACGAAAGGGTGGGCAAGGGAGAGGGGAGTCATACCATCAGCAACAAGAAATGAAAACAAGTAAGCAGACTCCTCAAATCAGCAAACMGGAAAAGACCTCTGGAAAAATAAAATGGTCAGGCATTGCCACTCTCATGTCAAGGAAAAGTTGACAGCTGTGCTGTGAAAGGCAGAAAAATCCTGCTAGCATGTCTGCTAATGCACCAAGAAAACATATAAAAATTTAGGCATATTAGAAACTCCCTGGCCATAACTTGCCACATTTAGCAGCAGTCATCTATTCCCAAAGGCTCATTCTCCCTCCTCTAGAAAACTCTCTATGTAACTATGGTGCCCAGTTTGTTCTTCCAGTCTCTTCTTCCCCTGCAATGATGACATTGCCTTCACCCTACCATGTGCTAAAAACATGCTAGCATGGCAGGGAGTCCTGAGGAACAGGCACACACAAAATATTTATGTTAGCAGAGGGAAGATGCTGGGTCACTCCAAAACCGCTGAACCCCAGAGACATCTGCCGGGTGACATCACGTGACACCATGCAGGGCTATGGAGGCAGCAGCTGCCTCCTGTCCCCACTCCACACCACAGCTCATTACAGGCACACACGCCCTTCATTTCCCTGGCTGGCAATGAACCTCAGCCATGCGATCTATTTACAGCAGCAGCCCAGAGCCAGGGATGGATCTGAGCCAGGTTTTTGATGTGTGGTGGGGTTTTTTTTGACCCAGTGATTTGAACTCCCTTTGCTACTGACACTTCACACTCAGGTGTCCAGGCAGGACTCTCTGCTGGGAGATGCTCCCTGACACACGCAGGTGGGCCAGAGCGAGGTGCTGGCACCATCTCCATCTCCAGCAGGATCCAACCCCACCATTTCTTAGCAACTGCTGGACCAGAGAGGATGTGGGTACCACACTCACAACCATGGCCACAGGTCCAAACACTGAGCAAACTCAGCCTTGGGAGCACCTGCCCAGAACCACCTAGAAAAACATGTTTGAATTTCCTGATCCAAACCATGAACCTCCACCACTTTAAAAACTCACAGTTTTATATCAGCCTGACTTTCATACTGGAGTGAAACAGTTGCTTTCTCCCCATTGCCTAATTCACCCAAAGGCAGCAAAGTCTTCCTAAAGCTTCTGTTACCTGCTAAGGAAAATACCAGAACTAAAACACATTTGCTATCCTCCTGAAAACTACCTTGCCTTGTCCTGCAACAAACTCCATGGAGAATGAAACTTTTCCTCAGTCCCTCTCCAGCCACCACTGTCATCTGTATTTCTGGTGCTCTGGAAAGCTGTGCAAGAATGGTGCTGAGAAACCATGCACCTCGCGTGAGCAGCAGCTCGACAAGAAAAGCATGCATTACATGTAGGAAGAACAGAAAAAATTAAGAGTGGACATGAAAGAAGATGAAAATAGGCTATAGCCCACTTTAAAGGGAATGCTGAGCAGCGGTAATGATACTTATCTTATGGCAAGTAATATTCCTTTGGGGGATTTCTTTCTCTGCTGCCTCGCTTCTAATGAACAATAAGCACGATGTTTATATGTTTATGAAGTACTTTGAAGACCCACTAGACTCAGATTAAACCTATCTTTAAGAGCACTCTTTACATTTATAGTCCTCCAAGCTGCCGTAAGCCTGCAGGAAAAGTTCAAACCTTCCAATGGTTTGATACAATCAGTCTTAAGTCAATTATTCCATTCTTTAAATATTGATAAACAGTAATGTAACACCAATAGCTCTAGAGCTGGGGGAGAGGAGTAAACCACTGTTTCAGAGTAGGTTCTCTGGCTTTGAGGAGATAGGGAAGATGAAAGGGCACCTTCAAATGTGCAAGGACTGGTGACATGTTGAGCGTAGCAGCCCAGGCACTATCCTGCCCTGCCCTGGTCTGTCAGCATCATCACCTCGGCACCGTGACCGCGGCAACGAGGGCAGCCAGGAGACAGCGTCCCTGCTAGATAAGCACAGGCCTTCCCCTCCTCCTAACAGCTGCTCAGCGTGTCTTGGCAACAGCTAAAATTATTATATTACACATGACTTACAGATTTTTCTTTTTAAGTTTGACTAAAAATAAAACCACCGAGCTCACATTTGCGCAGTCATCCTTGGTTAACTTTAGCTCTCTGTAGCCTTCTGCCCTGGGCAGTTGGCTCGGGTAGGTAAGTCAGCAGACCCTGGCTGAGGTGGCTGCACGAGGAGGATGTCCTTAACATGAGGTGCTCATCCTGCTCCCCTTGCCAGGGGGAGCTTGTGCTGGACCATCCTCCAACCTCTCCTGGATATGAACATGAGCTGCAAATCCAGAATTTAAATACACTCCCACAGGGAAAAGCAACAGAGCAGGGAGCTTGTACATGGGACTGAATAGGGCCAGGCTCTTTTGCTGTGATGGGTAAACCARCTCCCCAAAACCAGTGGTTCCGAAAGTTTGAGGCATCTGGATTCAGCTTCTCTGCAATGAAGGCAGTACTATGAAGCTCTACAAAACGTGGCGAAGTTTCATTCTGCAGGAGCTGAAGCAAAGGTTTTGTGCTGCTAAATAGCATTGAACCACTGAGGTTTGGGTGGCCTCCAATGTCATCTTAACATCCTTCAAAAATACCAAATACTAAATCTTTTGGGTCTTGCATTTTGATTTTTTTTTTTGGTGTAAATCTTTTACATGGCTGACTTCATCTTTACCAGCAATGAAACAGCTGCCCAAAATCTCCTGGAGAACACAGGAGGAATGAATAAATTTAGTGGAGACAAGGSATGAGACAGCCATGAATACCACCCCACTTTTCCAAGCCCAAGCACCTCACAGTGAGACTTCGAACTCTTCACGTAGGACTGGATCTGAAAAAAAAGCAAATGCGCAGCATAAAACAGCCTACTTCTACTTCAAGACCTAAAAGCAAAACAGTAACTTATCAGCATAATTCAAGTTCCAGCAACAGTAAAGATAAGACAGGACTGATTCTGCTTGGGAAGCAATAAAAGGGAGACAACCCAAATAAGAATGTCTCAAAGGCAAGATGTACAAGACCTGGTTAAACAGTTTTTTGCTGGCTGTCCTAGAAAGATGAACGCCTGCCTTCTGCAGTGTGCTGCAGCGTTTGTTGTTTGTATGCTTTTTTGTTTTGTTTTGTTTTTGAAATCAAGTAWTTTTTCCAACTCTGGAGCTTTCCTTTAACTTTAGAGCTGTCAATCACGATTTGTGATATATGCAAATGAGCAGGAAACACCAGGTGATTTTTTGCTCCTGTGTGTGGCACAGTGTGTGCGCRCATGCAGGCATGTGTAATTATGGCTGGGAAGGTAAAAGGGACAAAGAGATCAGGGAGAGCAGCTGGACTTTGGTATCTCTGGCTGTGAGTACACATGGAACATTGCTAAACTGTCTGGACAGCCAGTGTCTGCTGGCAGCCTGCCCACACTCAAATTCCTGGAAAGGCTTGAGGCAGAAAAATAATCACTTGGAGGAGTCACCATCTGGGCTTGCTCTGGTCCCAGAGGGATTGCTCACTGGAGCTCGGGATGTGCATTTTCATGCAAAACTCCACCATCTCTTCGCAAGGCACTTTAAATCTCACTATGCTTCTCAAAACAGCATTTTTCTATTTATTTAAAACTCAGGAGAAGGTACTGGGTTATAGCTTCAGATGCTGACCTCTTATTTACCTGGAGCAAAGGTAAAACCAGCAATGTATGCTTCCAAACACACACTGACCTGCCACCCACCCAGGACTGAGTCCTGGGGTGCAGAGAAGTTGRGGCAGAAACACAAAGCCCAGCAGCATCTGGCTATGCAAACGTGGRATTTACACTGCCTTGAGAAATCAGGCACTTTCTCTGTCCCATGTTGCAGCTAACATCTCTTTTTGGGTCTCTAAACCTCCTTCTGAAATCTGGTCCCTCATCCTCTCTCATGCCTGACCTTTCTGCAGTTGCCAGCAAGCTCACACCAACATGTGCCATCAGGAAGAAGGACTGGTGCAAGAAGCAAACACCCAAAGGGGGCAGTCGTCAGCTTTCAATTTCAGGGACATTCAATTAAACCAGTCACGTATTGTCAAAGGCTCCTTTGATCCCAAACCCTAGCAACGCRCAATGTACTATGCCTTTTCAACTTCCACTTTCCAGCTCCAGGTACGACCAGAAAATTCTCACATTCATCTGTGCACTAAAAAAAAAAAAAAAATGGGTCTCTCCTCCGTCAGACGCTGTTGCCCTGCCTGGCACGTAGATGTTAATTCAACATTCCCACAGTGGAGCCTGATACGCGGCTCTTTATGTCTGGGGTGTTACCGGGCAGATGAAGCAGCGCAGTCGGCTGCTCCCGCCTCAAATCACCCGCCCATCCTATCACGAGGGAGTAATTTCGGCAGCGCTGGAAATGAGCGAGAAGGGAGGCACTTCGTCCCACCTCTCCCCTCCCCTCCAAGGAGGCTGGCATCTTGCAGATCAGATTCAGAGAAACGAAAAGGCACACACACCGCAGAGGGCTCCGCAGCTGCATTCCGGCTCTCAGATCTGTACGCCAGCTTTCTCCCCCCGCTCTGCAGCCTGCCCGCTGCCAGCTACACATTCAGGGCTGTAACTGCGACAGATTCCATTAGCCCTGCCATGGCCAGCTCAGCGCACGCCAGCAAGAGCTATAGGAGTTCATTGTCCAGTCCACCCGATTTCACAGCTCCCTGGCAGAATTCCGGGAGGGCCAACTGCAGAGATCCATTAATAAGAAACATGAAAACTTCTAATAAAATTTGAAATTCTCCTCCCAAAAAGAAAGGACTCCTGATCAACACTGCATCCGCAAGACAGATGGTCCACTGCAGTGTTAGCTCTTCTAATATTCCTGGGAATCTGCCACAGCAAATTGCTACAGGTTTCAGCATAGCGACTGGTTGTTCTGCACGATCTTCCTCTCCCCAGTCAGACCAGACTCCACACAAGACAAAAAGCAAGTGATACGAGCAAACCTCAGTGAGCACATCATCA